TATCCAAATTGTATATTTTTACGAGTCAGTAAAACGGAAATCTGGTGTTATTGTAGATTGTAATAGTTGTAAGTGAAGTTGAAAGTAAAAGAAGTTTGTAACAGAGTGGATATATCATTAACATATAAAATCATAACTTACCTTTACTTATTGCTTTCCTTCGATAGTATAAATCATATATATATCTTGATTTCTGATGATGTATTTTGAAAATCGGCCACAAAGATTCAACTTTTCTTTTACCCTCGTGGGGTTCAGTTTCGGCTATAATAAATAAAATATTGTTGATAATTTATTACATTTATTATAATTTATTGTTGATAGTTTATTACTCTAGAATATGCAATTACTAGAAAATAAAGTAACATTATAAGAAACAATATGTGTTTTACCTTCTCTCATCTTCTGCTCTAATTCTTCTAGGGTAGGTTCTATCAGTTCCCAACCATCTGGTGGAGGCTTCTTGCTTCTTCGTACTTTAGGCATTATTCAAATTTATAATTAACAACAATAATTAAACCTTCAACCTAGGGATGGGCGATAATCGATAGGTTAGTTTTGACTATCGATAGTTCCATTGGCTATCTATAGTTCGTATCGTCCTCTCAGACACATGACTTGGGGGAGACGTGGGTTTCTTTTATCTCCTTTTTTCTTTTATCCCATTTAGAGTATCTATTTGTAGAAATATCCTCAGATTCTTCTTCCCTCTCCTATGTCATTACACATCGTCCTCCTCAAGTTCGATTTGATCCTTCCGTAGAAACTTCCCTTTTTACTTACGTTCCTCTATAATATAATCCTATATAATAACGTTATCATAACCTGTGACTTATGACGACAAATTATACCTCGTAGACCTAATCCATTCCCTCGACCTATTTATCGTTCCCTTTCAATCGTCATACTCAGTTCTCTAATATATTGCTTGACCTTTTCTAATTGATTCCTCTCAGCATTTATTATATAACTATCAGAATCCTGTCTCCTTTCTCTCATACCGACACCTAAGTTTAACCATAAGCAAATTATATGGCGGGATCTAGGCTCCTTGACCTCTGAAATGCTAAATCCTTTCCTGGAATCACTAGCCCAATCCTTAGATCCTATCTACTACTATTCCTCCACTGATGAAATGATGGAATGTCTTTTCTCCAATCTCCTCCTATTTCGAAATAAACGTGCACCCCTACAGACTTCTACCTTCATACGTCCTACTGCTCCCTGGATTAATCTTGAAATCAAAGAGTTGATGAAGAGAAAAGACGCTTCAGACGCACACATAATCCAGATAATTAAATCTCTTTCAAGACTCTCCGAAACCTTGCCCAATCTTCCTTACTGGGTGCTGAGGCACAATTCTTCCATATCTCCTTATCACAAGCAGCAGTCATAAGTCCAAATGAAATATCTCTCTGTAGTAAATTCAAAAACCTTTACCTCCTATCCTGTTTCTCCTGATCAACTGAATTCCTACTTTACCGATCCTAACTCTATACCGCTCTCTTCAACACATTACCTTCCAAAAAATTCCTTTGAACCTACGAATTTCTATTTTACTATCTATATCTCACCCGAGGACTTACTATTCTCTGTACTCAAATGTTGAACGAATGACAATAGTCCAGATCTAATTCCTGTGAAATTAATCAAATTATGTATTCCAGTCATGTTTTCTATCCTACTGCATATTTTCAATTTTCACCTTCAAAATTTCTGTTTCCCATCAACTTGGAAAAACTTCATAGTCTGCCCTTCGAGCAAAGTTCTGGTTCCCTCGAAAACTTCCAATTTCAGACCAATCTCTATTCTCTCCAACCTTTCAAAGTATCTAGAAAGACTAGTCCATTAGTTAAATACCTTCGTCGAGCAAAATGCTCTTCTCAATCCCCAATTCTTACAACAATCTGGTTTCCGATTCCAGTTCTCCACCCAATCTGCTTTATTGAAAATCATCCAAGACCTCCAATGCTCCATAGATAAACAGAAAATCTCTATCCTAGTCCTCTTTAATTTTTCAAAAGCCTTCGATTCCGTTAATCATAAAATCTTTCATTACAAACTCCAAAACCTTTCTATATCAAATATCGTCCTGAAGTGGTTCCATTTCTTCTTGTACCACAGATCCAAAACAATCATCATTCCTGATAAAACTGTTTCCTCCCCCCTCTTATTAGCTCGTGGTTTCCCGCAGGGATCTTCGCTCTCTCCAACTCTTTTCTAAATCTACTTCAATGACCTTCCTAATTCGATCCATTATTCACAATACCACTTTTATGCCGACGACCTTCAAATCTATCTTTCCTTCCATCCTATCAAGATGCTTGAGGCGATACGAAGGATACGGGAAGATATAGATGATATTATTACGTGGGCACCGAGCAATGACTTAAAGTTGAACATTGATAAGACCACAGCCATTCTCATTGGTTCCAAGCGTCATATCAATTCCATTCCTTATTATCTCACACTCTACCTTAATGGACTACCTATTCATTTCCATAATTCCGTTAGAAATCTTGGAGTAATTTTCGTTCAATACCTATTCTGGAACAATCATATTTTCCAACAAATTATCCGAAAATCCATTGCTACCTTAAAACAGTTCCTAAAATTCTGGAATTCTTTTCCTCCAAAAACCCGTCAGCTCCTAGTTTCCTCTCTCATTTTCTCTCACTTCGATTATGGCTGCCTTGTATACGCAAACATAAATCTCTTTCGCTCATCGCTCCGAACGACAACAATAAGATTGCATAAAACATTGGTAAGACCAGTAGTGACATATTCTGCGGAAACTTGTACCCTTTGCACCACCGCAATAAATGCATTGGAGGTTTCCGAGAGGAAAATTCTCCGTAAAATTTATGGGCCTATATTGAAAGAGGATGGATGGAGAATCCGGAAGATGTCGCATAAATATTGCTATCCTTCACTTGGAGATTAATATTGATCAGTGACGTCAGTGAGAAAATTTGTTCAACGCAGCCTCTTCCTTTTCCAAATCCCGCTTGTTCTTCTGGAATTAGATTTTCATATTCAGTCCAAACTTGAATTATATAAGCTAAATGCCTGTAAATAACTTAGTTATGTCATTTATCAATGAGATCCCTCTGTAGTTATCTGCATCTGTTTTGTCACCCTTCTTGTGTTTCAAAATTGAGTTTGATTTTTACCAGGCACCTGGTAGTTTCTCATTCCATAATATAATTTAAAATATTTAATATGTAATGTTCCCATTCAGGGGTTAAATTTTTGAAGATCTCATATATGATGTCCTGACCGAGTGATATCTTGCTATTACTTAATTTTATTACTTGCTAGAGTTCCTCTAATGAAAACGGCGGTTCCAAAAACGGGTGGGTTCCCGAAAATAAAAGTGTTTCTTGTTTCAGTTTTGGTCCATATATTTTCTTATAATGTTCTGCCCATTTATCAATATCTATTTCACAAGTTTGTTGGACTCTTGGATGAGTCCTTTTTAATTATATTTGACAATAAGATAGACTTCATGAGAAGATTGTAAATAATTATTTTTGACGCAGAGTTCTTTTAAGTTCTTGTCACTCATTATCGTACCATTTATTTTTAAAAACACGATATGATATTGAGAAGCTCTGGGCGATACCAAATTTCCGGTGCTCCTCTTGACAATACGCTAGACTAGGGGGGACTTTGTTTTAATTTTATTACTTTTTTGGGTGGGGGGGGGGGTAGAGTTTAACACTCCACCCTTCCGATTTTTTTTAACATGATAAAATGGATATCTGTTTGGGTAGATGGGTAATACTTTGTTTCACTTTTGTTTTATTAATTTTTTTTTTAAGGGAAGGTTAACTCCTCCGAATTTAAAAATAAAATAAAATGACAATATGTTTGAGTAGGCGGGTAATACTTTTTTTGGAGGAAAGAAAAGAAGAACCCCCCTAAATTTGTTTTTAATACAAAATGGCAGTATTTGATGCCATTTAGCTGTTTCGAAGTAACTTTTTTGTTCAAAATTTGATTTTTACACAAAATTTAATAACAATTTTTTTTTATTACTAATATTTTTTTAAATATTAAATAACTAAGAGATAAGACAGAACCAATTTGAAACAAGAAACGTTTTAATGACTAGGAACAAAATAAACATTACAAAGAGCACTTATTTTTTTTCAATGCTAAAGCCGAGGCAATTATACTAATAGAAAATTCATTATTATTGATTTACACAAAAAAGAAAGATTACCTCTTTGGAAACCTCCTTCTTTAGTGGAACTAAGATCTTAACTGATATAATATTGACAAAATATAATTGACCCGTGTGAGGTATCCTTTCAATATGTTGACTTCAATTATATTGACCTTGTAAGGAGTCACTTACTTATTTATTATAATCAAATAAATAATTAAATTATACAGTCGTAAAAGGAAATGGCTTGTGTCAAACAAAATAAATATATTAAATTAGACGACTACCAAAATTATATGGCAATTAATTGTTTTAATTAATGTTTCGTGCCCTCCATAATTTTTACTTTCACTTTCCTTTATCTGAAAATACTTCATTCTACTAAGAAGAGAGTGATAAGTGGAAGCTGTATGATGTGCACACCGCACCATATTTTTTTTGTATCCGTCTATTTATTCTCAATATTTTCATGCCGACGATAATGTATATTTATCAATTTCTGTTCCTGTTTTTTGACAGATACTTAATAAGTTGATTGGCATTTACTCAATGGTTGTTAGGGACGTGGTCCCAAAATAAAATGTTTTTCAATCTATCTGTTTCCTACTTCATTGGCCTTCAGTGATGATAAGATAACTTTTGAACAAAAATAAAGTCTTAGACCACTTGATAACCGATATACGTTATATCTTAACTGTATTATAATAATTAAATTTAAATTATTTTTTTAGCCAAGAAGTCCACTTACTATAAAAAGTTGATCATTTTTCTTATAAAAATAATTTTTGTGAAGAAATAGTATTTTTTAAGAGACTAATCTAAAGAAAATATGGACCTTTTTACACTTATTGGTTTATACTTTGTTGGCTATGTTATATGCTATGTAATTCTTTTGTCAGTAGTTGATTGTGACATCAGGTTGCTGTGGTCTATTTATTTCGGCAGAGGACTAGGTATTTTTATGATGATTGATTACAATTATTTCTGTTGGTTTTTCTTTTTTATTAGTTGTAGTAAACATTATAGAGCAGACCCTGACATTTTTACTATAAACCAGAGCGCTTAATTTATCTGCTAAAGTATGTATCAGAAGTGGATATTAATTTGAAAGAATATTAAAGGATCAACTCATTTTTTTATTGATTAAACAATATTAGAATGTTAAGTAAACGAGACATTTGGACCAGTTTCTTCACCTACCTTAAAGTCATAATTTAGGTACCTGTATCAGTGCATAACAGCATACATCCATCATGGATTTTGTATAAGTGATACATTTATGCTGAAATTAACAGAATATAAATTAATCATGTTTTAGTTAAGCCATAATGAGTAGTTTCTTAAACTGAGCAAGTTTAAATGACGCTTTATTTCAAATAGTTAAATCAAAATCCTTTCTATTTAAGGTAGTTGTCATTACTACTAAAATTAGATTTTAAAATATAGAACTATTAAGTGAATGCTGATGTTTCTTTATTTATTCTGTTTAATATTTCAGATTATTTTCAAGGCAAAGTTGTTTGGATTACTGGCGCTTCAAGTGGAATTGGGGAATTTTTAGCTGTTGAACTTGCAAAAAATGGAGCTTCTATAGTTTTGTCTGCCAGGTCACTAGCCAATTTAGAAAGAGTTAAAGGGAAATGCATAGGTGATTACTTAATTTTCAATATATAAAATACTGATCTCCATACCCTATCTGACAGTTAGCTCAGTATCTTTTATACATTTATTGAATTCTAAAGTTAATATATGTATATTATTAGATGCAGGAGCGAGTTTAGATAAAATTTTTATTTTACCCATGGATGTAACCGAAACAGAAAAGCATGAGGAAATGTTCCTTCGTGTCGTGGATCGTTTTGGAAGGGTATACAAATTTATCAATTACTCAAAGTTATATTTCAGGTATGGCCTGATTACTTAATTTATATTTTAGTTGGATATTCTAGTTAACAATGCAGGAAGATCCCAAAGAGCCTTATGGGAAGATATAGAACTTGAAGTTGACCGACAGCTGTTTGAGCTGAATGTATTTAGTGTTATATCTTTGTCTAGACTGGCTGTTAAATATTTTGAAAAAGTCGGTGGAGGCCACATTGTAGTGACTTCAAGTTTGGCAGGTTTGTTTGGGGCTCCTTTTTCAGGAAGCTACACCGGAGCCAAACATGCCATTCATGTAAGTTATAGTTCTATTTTGATATTTAATTTATCTTAGAATCAATAATGAGTTGAAATAATCATTTCCCTTAATTCTTTTAAACATAAATAATTCTGAAAATTTTAATAAACAAAACTAAATTTGTTTTTCTTATAATATTCCATACCATACATACAAAATGTATTGTTACCTTGTATTTATACCATTTAAATAGTTAAATAATATATATATATAATATTACATAGTGAGTGATTTTAAATAGTGAAACTACTGTCAAAAAGGGAAATAGACAGATGGGAGGAGAAGCAAGTGCCATATGTTATAGAGAGAAGGTAGTAGCCGGCTAGTAAAGAGGATCGAGAGAAGAAAATGTGACGACAACTAGTGAGTGTCAACAAAGGAAGAATAGAAGATTGTAGAAGTTGAATAAAACAATACAGAAGAAGAGTCACTGCAGAACAGGGTGAGTGAAATATAAATAGTAACAGTTCGAAAGAGCGCTAAGAGTAGACCCCGACAAACAATGAAAATTCATAAATGTTACATAAAATTAATGTAAGTTTTTATATTGTATAATTGAGGAATGTATGCTTGTTGTCTCAACCCATCCTGAGAAATAACTATTATTTAAAATAAATATAAATTGATTCAGAAACTATTTTGTTTACTTTTCAAAGGAAACATTTTGTATGTATGGTATGGGATATTATAAGAAAACAAATTTATTTTTGTTTATTAAAATTTAATTAAAATATTAAATATATATATATGTATATCGTATATAGGTGGGTCCTCAGTACTGTTAAATTTGATAAAGCATTGAAAAATATATGTTTTATTTACTTAATGGTCAACATACAAAAATGTATGTGTTAATATACGTTAAGGCATTTTTTATAAATAAAAACATAATATAATGCAGTAGCTCCTATAACGTAATTTAACACTAAACAGTCTATCTAGATTTGAATTGGATTAAGTCAACATTTATATCTACACTTTTTTTGGTGTGAAACTTGTAAATTGGTAACAAATCGAATCGCATTTCAGCCAATACTTTACAATTCATCCCCCATTCAGATGATTTTTTCATAATGTAGTTTCTTGTGCTGGATTTATGAAGAGAATAAACACTATTTGCTAATTTTATTGCACTCTCTATAAATTCTACATCAATTCCTCTTTGTCTTGTCCCAAAAGGAGGATTCATAATAACTGTATCAAACATATTATTCCATTTTTCATCTAAATGTTTTATATTACAGTTAATAGCTTCACAGTTCTCTATCTCAAATGCTTCTTTATTAGAATCAAATGATTCCAAGGCTTCTGGGTCTATTTCAAAACCTATTACATGGGATGCACCCAAAAAACAAGCACCAAATGTCAATATTCCACAACCACAACCCAAATCAGCTACTAACTTATTTTCTATATCACCAAATGTCGACTGGATTGTATGGAGCATACAAGCTGCCAAATGAGGAGTTGTAGAATATTGTTCCAAAAGTATTTTTGGGTTTTGAAATGATTCTACATCTTGTAGAAGTTGCTCAAGAGTTTTTAATTTCATACAGGCCATTAGATATTATAGTCTCTAAACTATTTCTTATCAAATCTTGGTAAAACAGGAAGAATGAGGTTCCCAAATGATGAGTCCTGAGGAATATAGTAACCATATGATTGTGTGTGAGCCAAATTCAAAGCACTTCTTTGAGTTGAAGATAATGATTGCATATCAGGATTGAAGCTTGATTGCTGTGTAATGAAGTAAAGTTATTAGTTAATTAAGGGGAATTGGCTTCAAGAAACTCTTAGTCAAATAAAAAGTAACTTACAGAAGGTGTATTTGGCTGATTCAAAGTACTAAGAACTGGAACTGCACCTTGTTTTAAAAGCTTTTTATTTAACTCCAGTTCTTCTAATAGTTTTCTATTTGCTAACTCTAAAACAGAGCAGTTTTATAACATTTTATATGTACATTTATGAACTATATATACATATATATATATATATGATATCATTTAATAAATTACCTCTGCTAGGTAAAGCCATGCAGTACGAATAAATCAACTTTATATTCTCAAGTATATCCTGTAAATTATAATTATTTTTTAATATTTTTTTCTTTTTTAAACTACAGCCTTTCTTTAACTCAAAGTTATGCTGAATACTTGTGAACTAGCAGGTTACGTTAGGGTAGAAGGTAACATGATGGTTAGCGGCTTCCAGTTATCTGTTGAAGGCTTGGGCAAGTTTCTAAACTCAGCGCTGAACTCATCGATGGAATTTCTTCACACAGTTTTGAGATAGATCAGAAACCGTCAGAGTTTTTAAAAAAATAATTGTAACTATCAGATTAAAGCTACAATTAACTTGGTTGTTCCGTTGAACATTAATTAAAAACTTAATTGTCATTCGTCATCCGATAATTAACTTTTGTAATTAAGTTAGGTACCATTTGTAATGGGCAACTGTTTATTTTTATTACATGGTCAACTACAAGTAAATAGTTTTATTCGTAGTTTTCAACTAACAACTAACCATTTGTTTTTAAACCCTTCGGGCTAGGGATAGACCGTCCCGGGCGGAACGAATTCCACTACTGGAATGGTTCGGAATAGACAGAGATCCTCCGAAACTTCGTTCCACTGAAACATAATCTATGAATATAAACGTTTTTAGGTTTCGATGGCTAAATGTACGGCAGAAAAGTCAAATAGGTACAAAAGAGATTTGTAGCAATTAACGTTAGTGCGATGATGGATTAATGGATGATGCCGAAGTGGATTAATGGAATAGTCGAATAGGTCGTTTGCTTCAAAAGTGAACCATAAGGAGTAAATTTAATTTAGTATTTGATTAAAGATAAAGAAATATAATACGATCTTAACCATAATTTTAACATAAAAATTTTCAAATTTTAAAGATGTTAATTATAATGCCAAGATTCACACAAACTATCAAAATAATAATAAATTAATTAATATTAAATAAACATTTTAGCCAAATTTTATTATAATTATTAAGACCAATGATAAATATGTGGTTCTGTTGTGCAAATGAAATTTGTCATCATTGGTTTATTTGGATTTAGAAAACCTAAGATTTCGCATTTTATTTTATTTTACTTTTTTTAGCTACCTATAAAAGTTATGAGAAATATCAATATTGTTTTAACATTTATTATTGATCTTTAATCAATTTTGCTTCTTTTTTTAAATAATATTTTATTTTTAATTTATTTGTAAGTCATATTGGCAGAACAAAGAAGAAACAGAATTGACAGTCTCGTTAGTCGAAATAAAATTTTCTTGAACTGGTTCGATGAAACCATCCCATCTCTGGAACGGTTCCACTCCGAACGATCTTCCTCTTTCCGAGAAGCTTTGAATTCCAAAGGAAAGGTTCGGAATCATTCCACTCAGAACGGTCTTTCTCTTTCTGAAAGGTTTTGGAATCTCGTTCCATCCGAATATGAACGCTTTTAAAGGGACCCTACATTCGATTACATAATGATTTTGTTCCAATCTGAGATTTCATTCTAGCATCCGTTTGAAATTATTATGAAACGGATTAAAGTGCCTACGTGTGTTGTTATGTTTAGTTTAAATTAGCATGTCTTAAATTAATTAAATTGTGTGTATAATAAAAAAAAGCAAATTAGAAAACAGAAATGGATTTTTATTCACTAATATTTTTCTGTAACTTGGGGTAAGGGAATATTTAAAGAAAATTACTTACTAGAAAGAAAAGTTACTAAAATTACTACTACTTACAAAAATTAAGGAAAGGTATTGCGAAAATAATAAATTTGTTGAGGAAAATGGGAAAAGAACTGATAAATTTACACAACGTTAAAGTTTTTTTTTCCTAAAGTAAATTGTGAAGTTTCCTCATTTTTTTTTTAATTTGTTGCCCACATGACTATTTAAAAGAAATAGTTGAAGATGGTTTAAAATTATAAACAAGGGATATGAAAAATTATTTAACTATTTACATATAATTAAAATCAGAAATGTTCCACTTCTCGTGAATAAACCTTTGATTTCCGGATGTTCGGAAATCCGCAGCGCACCACCATCAGTACTTCATTCATTACCTTACACGACATTTCGGAACGTCATTAGTGCAATTTCGATTGACCGTGTAAGGTCCCCTTAAAAATTGGAATTTAAAAACATCGATTTTTTTCTTTACTAGCTGATAGTCAAGTCAGACGTTCGTTAATTAACATGCCACTTTTGAAAAGATTCGTTGACATGAAACCGAAGTGGCCACTACAATCAACATTTCTTTGGCAATTATGTGCAAATTAGGGTAGTTGTTCTGCAGACCAAACCACTTACTTAATAGGGTTCTCATTGTTGTATAAAATATCCTTTTCTAAGTACCTGTTTAATTCAATCATCGCCTTTGATTCAGGTGTGCCATTTGGAGAATGTTGTCTGGAGCTCTCATCAATGTTCCTAATACTTCAAGTTCGTTTATTTCTTCATTTTTCTGCACCCTCAACATGATTTTAATACTGTGAAAAACTAATTACTATATTTCAAAATCATGAAAGTTAATACCATTTTATAAAATTTAGACCTCAAGAAAAAAAAGTTTCTTATTTATATTTTAAAGACCCTAATATTTTTTGCAGGGTTACTTTAAAACATTACTATCTGAAAAATTGGGAGGTAATATTGCAATAACACTTCTTTGCCCAGGTCCTGTATTTAGCAATTTACTACCAGAGTGCTTTACAGACAAAGCTGGGAAGGTATGTAATGGCTTTTTGTTTTTGATTTAACTATTATATACCTAGTTATAAACAGGCTTAAATTTCGGAAACCAAATATTTTTATTTTAATTAATGAATAATATGACATGATAACTGAAAAAGTATTGAATTCGTGAAAATTGCAGAAGTTGAAATTTAAATTGAAAAAATTTAGTGTGGTGTGGGCATCACACAGCTTTCACATACCACTCTTCTTAAATCGAAATCATCTGAGCTATTTTTAAGGAGATTGTAAAATTAATGTTATAAACTGTCCCTTTTGATTAATCAAATTTGGCCAGTTAGTGGAAACTCCCTGGCATATACATACTGAACTTAAATACTGTAATATCTATTTAGTATGAATTTTCTTTTTTGATCTAGCCTGTTCACTAACACACGTTTTCGCTTTACTATAATTTCAAGTATTATTTTGGTAATTTAAATTTTTCATTTTATAAACTTACATTATTAAATTAATTACTATGAAGCTGTTACCAAAAATCAGAAAGAGTATCAAATCTGAGAAAGAGTAACTGAGCAGTGGTATATCCATCACAAGAATCATTATTTAAGAGGAAATAATTGCTATCTGTTTACAAATTTATATCATTTTACAAGTGGGATTCAAGAAAACAAAGATTTACTGTAGGTCGAATGAGATTCTTAATCTAAATATTTTTTGAGTAGTTTTTTATTTAATAATGTTAATTATTGATTATCATTGATAAGATATTATATTCCTTTAATTTATTCTTCAATAATAGAAAAAATTATACCAATTCTAACTAAGTCACTATGATGTTTATATAAGAGAGTACTTCCCGTAATTGATGCAATCAAACTGTTGACCATTCATTTCATTATCTCGTAATAGAAATGGCAAAATTTAAAATTTTCTTTTACTTTTAGAACTTTGGTGAATCAATGGGTCAAGAAGATAAAAGAATGACCACAAATCGATGCGCTTATCTTTGTGCTGTTGCAATTGCAAACAAATTAGATGAAGCTTGGATGGGGTTGTTTCCAGTTCTGCCACTCTGTTATATGCTTGTCTATCATCCCGGCATTGCGAAACAGTAAGTTAAATATTTGTGTTTATTATTTTATTTTTTTTAAATAGGGTTATTTTAAAATCTTAAAAAAGATGTGGAAAAGGCCTTACCTATTCCCTTTGAGGAATGTTTATTCTCTAAAACAATCTCCCTATATCTGTGTAGAGCTACCAATTGGTATTAAATTTTGGAGGATTAGCATAATTTTCCTTTCAACCTGGCCATTTATGGATTATGGGAAATAGGAGAGGTTATCATATAGATAACCAACGTATTCTTACTTGAGTGGAAAATTCAAGATTCATCTCAATATAAATTTCAACTGGTGCAGCTAATGGTTGCTATTTACACTCTCAGTCCTTTACATGCTCTTTATCTTCAGCCAATAGCTACGCCTATGTAAAGCTATTGGGCACCAATTTGAACTGTGTAGTGATCATTCTAGCTGGCTTATTGCACTCCTTTTGCTTTTGCTCCTTGAAGTAGTGCCTTTAATCATTTCTCTAGTTATGTAAAGAAAGACCTACTCCAGATATCTTTTCTACTAACTTTCAGAGTGATTTTGTCCATATTTTTTTGCAAACAAATGAGAAGGGCCTCTGTCTTTAATTCCACCAGTTGCAGCCCCTTTGATACCAGCCAATCTGAGTAGCCCTTTGTACCTTCTCCTTACGTTTTTCCCCCTTTACCACAGTGTGTGTATGTTAAAATAAATAGATGTATTTTTAACTATTCACATTATGTCAAAATGTTTAAGATTTACAATAAGTAAATTTTTTTAAAAAACATTTATAGTAGTTTACTAGAGATTAATTTTATTTTGATATTAATGATAATAAGGTAAATGTTTAATTAATTAATTTTAAGGTCTAAGTCTTGTTCTTAATCAGTAATGTTTTTGATTTCAGAATTGCTTTATCACTAGGCACAAAACAGCTATTAAACTTAAGGGATAGCCGACAAACTGTAGTGAAGAAAGAAAGCTAACTAGCATTTTTTAAATTTTAACTGAGACTGTTAGTAATTTATACGTACAATGGGTTATGGTTCTTATATAACTAATTTTTATATAGGATGGTGATTTTTAGTTCAAATCTTTACTTTACCTTTAAAGTTATAGATTTATTTATTTTTATTTCAGAGATCTTCATTTTTTTTTTCTGTGTATATATATTTATATACTTTAATTAAACAAAATTAAAGTACATTATATCCACCAATTATTTTTAAATAATTTTATAATGAAGTGTATATGATTATCTTCATAATCGGGCATTAGCTAACTAAATTTTAGTTAGTTATGGTTCAGCTAAACAACGAATCGTTTGCAAAATTAGTTCATAGTTAATTTAGCTATTAACTGTTGATTCCTAGCTAACTTTTGCAGTTAAATTATCTGTTAATTGAAATGAACCGCTTTTTTTTTAAGCTATTATGACACTAAAACTAATTAACTTTAGCTATCACAAACAAGCTATAGCTAATTATTTTATTATTTGGATGGTTCTATAATATTGTTATTAAATTAAATAGTAATTCCTTAATTGAGGTTTGATGTTACAGGACTTTAATTTTATTTCAATAAAAAAGATATCTTCCTGTATAATTTAATTTTTTTCTTTCTGCGTAATCGGTTACGAAGAAGACTCAATTAAAAAGGAGGAAAGGAAGGCCACCATAAGTTATCCTAATGAAGGTCTGATCAAAGACCAAAACTGGTTGTGCAGAAAGAAAAAAAAAATATTCGGAAAAACATATTTTGTATTGAAATTGAATAATAATTTGTGAGCTATTATTAATCCTTCATTCCTGTTTACTTCTCGTTATATTTTTTGGATTCTTAAGCATGCTCTCCAGTATTGTGCAAGTTATTCTTATATTTTATTTTAACCTAGATTTTAAGGGTTAACATTGTTTAGAACGAGCTTGATGGTGCCTATGATGGTGGATTGTACAGTATTCCTTGATCTTCAAAAGCAGGAGGACTTTCAGTTAGTTCTGCAATTCAGCGTAAAGATTTAATTGGTACAGTTGGAAGTTAAATAAATCCTAGACTTGTGAGCTCAAGCCAACTCTGACCATCTTAGATGGAACCTTTTACATTATTAATTAAATTACTGTTTTTCTCCATTTTGCCATTTGTTTCATGTTCTGCGCATCGATGCAGCCTCTCTTAATTCAGTTAGTATTGAAAATTAATAGGTAAATTGATTGGATATTAGAGAAGTTTCTTTTAGTGGTCTCAACATTTTTCCTACCACTCCCTAATTTTTTTCTAGTAATTTTACATGTTTTTGAGGCTTCACGCACCTCCTCTGAACATTTTCTACCATCCCTGCTATGACATGAAGATAAGATAACAAATTTCTGGAGTAACAATTGATTTTAAAATTCAATTCAATTTTCTTAGGTAAGAATTTAGAAAACAATTGTCCCTTTTTAACAGTTTTCCGAACAAAATATTATAGTAAAATATGATTTAAAAGATGGAACTTAGTTCACCTGTCTTTTTATGACTGCCATCCCAGACCATCTCCCTACTCAATATAATGGTCAACCATCGAGTATTCACTAAAAAAAAAAAAAAATAGTTGACTGTTTCCACTAATAGTTTATTTAGCAACAAGAATTATCTTAGGGCTAACAGATAACAGCTGATTTTTAACTATTTATCTGTTGCTTTTATAATTAATTTAGCTGCAGATAATTTTTGCCCAACTCTGATTATCTTAGAACATAATCATATACACATTAATATCGAATAGAGAAAAATAATTATTTGCTTCAAAATTTTAACAAAATTAATAAAATAGTAGACTGATTCTCTTAGTTTTAATTCTAGCTTCTTAAATGGAATTAATCAAATATGAGAAATAATATGATATTATGTACCTTTTATAATTAAGAAACTGTAATTTGAAGTTGTAGGAAGTTTTGCATTTTTAATGCTTAAGTCATTATGCACATAAAACTGCATTCAAAACTATTCTTTGTTAGAGTAATAATTTTCCTCTTTTATTTATTAATGATTCTCATTAAAACCAAGTACTGAATTTATTGTAAACTTTTTAATTTTCTTTGGAATATTTATTTTGAATATATTGTTATAATATAATTATATTAAAATTATATAGTTTGTTGATTTGTGTATTTAAAGCTATTAAACCATCTGCTAGTAGATGTAATAGGTATGCTATCAATAGCAATATTAAATTTATTATTAGTTACTACTTGCAAACTAAATTTTAAGTTTCAATACCCTGAAGTAACCAGCAAATTTGAAACAGGACCACATTACAGACCTATTCATTAATCATCTTAATTATAACTAGATGCCATTTAGCCTAGGATTTCTATAGGAAGCTATGGTAATAGATATCAAGTTTATAATTGAAATGAAATGTGCATCAATGCAATCTCCTCTAGTTATATTAATTAAAATGTGACTTTTTACATTCGGAATGGTCACATTAAGGGTGAGCCTTATACCTTTAACCTTTTGCTCTTTCTTTCTTTTATTTTATCCATAGCATTACTGCAGTTGTAAACAAAGCAACATTATTTTATTAATATTTTAAACCATAAATCATACATCACATAAAGATGTATAGATTTTTCAACTATATTTATTGTATTTTATTTTGATATTAATGATAATTTAATAAATTTTTAATTAGAACATATCAATGAATATCATGTTTAAATAATAATGATTGTTATTTTGAATTTCCTCCATTTATGTTCTAATACATTCAAAAAGGTTTTAGAATATCATAAACAAAGTATGTGTATAGAGGCTGGCAACACACTAATGGTGAGCTTATTGCCTTATGCAATGACACGAACATCACTATGGTCATTAAGATAAGACAACCAAATTAGTACATATAACAAGGATAGCCAAAGATCAAGTATCGAGGGACCTGTAGGTATTGGACAGGTTTGCAGACCAAGGCTGTGGTGACGCTCAGGCCGTCCTGAGCACCTGGAATGAAACATTTAAAACTTGTGATAAGAAAGATGTTGCAAGTGGCCCTTCTTCACCTAAGAGTGTGGAGTCTGACGAGAAGTAACATTATTTCTTGATTTTAAATAATTAGTCATCTAGCACATTAAACTAGAAATAAAGTAATCTGAAGGAGATCAATATCAAAATTAAAGTACTAGAACATAATAAAAGGTATAAATCAATAAAGCAACAGCTAATAAGTTATTATATATTTTTACTATTTAAATTGAAACCATACAGCTTCAAAACTATGATAAATTTTCCACAGTATCATCAATACTGAGTTTGAAGCTGAACCTTGATAACATTTTTTTTTTTTACAGATTTAAATGATTATAAAATGTTATAATTCGTACAAAATACAAAAATTTACAATTATAACAGCTTTTGTCCCAGAAGCAACACTGTACACTGCTTAACAATAATACTAGGTTTAAATAGAGAACCTCATTCCTAGTATTAGTGTTTTAAAACAGATTTTCATAAAATCTTAAATAATTTCAAAACTCTATTTTCTTTTCTTACCTGCAAGAATGGCATTTTTAAAAAGCTTACAATAAAGTTCAACAGCTGTAGGTGTATCATCATTTCCAGGGATAGGGTATGTAATAAGATTTGGATTACAGTTTGAATCTACAATCCCAATGACAGGAATAGCCATCTTAGCTGCTTCAGCTATTACCGGATGCTGTTCAAGCACAGTAGTTAAGGTGTTTAATACTATCACTAAATCTGGTAACCTTGTCACAGCACCATAAATCATTGTAGAATTAGTAAATGTTCCTTGCCTCCACAATCGAGTATGTGCAAATTCTTTACAATCATTTGCAGTACACTCAATGAGGTATGAAGTTTGGGGGTTTTGACTGACAAAAAGTATGATACCATCTCTATAAGCTATATGAGCTGTAAAATTAAGGGCAGCGAATAGTAACTCAGCTGTACTATCTAAATCGAATATTATATGTCCAAGTCTTGAGCCGAAAATGAATGGTTTCATTTTAGGGTCTAATGTACCTTCTTTATGCCCAAAATGAACCCTAGCATCAAACAGTTGTTTAATCGTGAAACTAGGTTTGAGATTGAAAAAATCTTCATGTTCTAGGGCACTGAGTTTATCTAGAAATAAAAATACAGGAACATAAAGCACAGGAATAATTTATTTATTAGATATAAAGTGATTATTATCTATATACCAGCCTCTTGAAGATTGGATGATTTCTCTAAAACAGCAGCTTCTGTAGCTAGACTTCTATTCCATAGAGAATTGATTTTGATTGAATCCTTAGAAACTCTGTTAGTATTAATCCACCCTAAAAAGGTTGAATATAGGTAACTAATAGCTCTGAATAGAAAAATGTGGAATATTTAAATTAGACGCTTACTACTAAAAGTTCTAAGAACATTAGCCATTAAGGAAACTAATCGGTGATAAAAAAGGATAGTCAAAGTATGTATATTTATATATGTAAATAATAAACACGTTAAGAAACCTTTATAAAATGAGAGGTTTCACAAGCAGGTTGTACATCATTCCAAAGATAAATAATTTATTCAGATAATTATGTTAATAACAAATTGTATGAATATAAATAAAAATATATGTGTATATTTAAGGAAAACTAGTTAATTAACCTGGTTGTTATGATCTGCATGTAAACTCATTTTTATCATTCCATATCATCTACATGAATAGTGATGAAAAGCAGTGTTGTTTGACGCTCAACGTGTTACCTTCCCAGAAAAGTTATTGTATGAAATTAGTAGTGTTGTTCGTGAAAATATGTAGTTTATTTACCTACCATGGTTTTAACACTGGGTTAATTTTAAATTTACTAAACTTGAAATGTGATGCAACTATAGACAACATGAAATTCGAAACCAATTGGGATATTAATAAGTACCATTACCACTATGAACTACCTCACCATTGGGAACTCAAAAAGAAATTTATTCTTACTCACAAAGAAAAATATCCTGAAGATAGGCTTATTTGCCTTGCTCAAATATTCTGTAATGTTCATTACTTAGGATGTAGGTGAGTATAATTTTCCATTTGCTTGATTCAGCTAAGCAGGGTCTCCACAATAATAACATATTGTAAAAATTAATAAATATGTTCCTTAATTTAGTTTATTAGTTCCATAATCAGAAAATGTTGACATGGTATTACATGATAAAGTGTGTTCTGAAACATTTGATAAATTCTCATTTCTACTAATTTTTATTGTATACATCTTTCCTTTATGTTTTGTTTATGGTGTTCAAAATATTCAAATTTATTTCTTGAATTAGATTTAACTAGTAAATGATAGTATATCCAGTTTGTTTTGAATCACTTGTTAATAATAATTTCTAATAACCAACTCAAAATGATAGCACTTTGTGATTTATTCTATATGTCATCCAATCTTTAATTTACTGGACGATTGCTAAAATAAGTTTCAGAAATATTTGTCTGTAATAACATTAATTGCTCAATTATAGAAATAAAGCTACTAATTAGCCTATAATATCTAACATATATCTAAAAAATTAGATATATGTTGAACCCTAAGTATTGTAAACATCAGCATGTTATACAATAAATTAATAACAGAAAACATTCTTACTTCTAAACAGAATGAGAATATAGAGTACTTGTGATTTAGCCGGTCGCCTTCGGACCTACCTTCTTATCTTGTGTTATCTCTTCTTATCGCTCATCTCTGCTTAGTTACTTGTGCGTTCTTCTTGTTATTCAATTATTTTCAGTTTTTTTTTTGTTTTGTTATTTTTTATTTAAAATGGTTACAATAACACTTTAGGAATTACTGTCTTCGGAAGAAGACTATATTATATATTAGACAGGTCAACTAAAAAAATTGGAGGGTCTAAAAAAGTTGTTGAAATAGACGGAAGTCTTTTTTCTAAACGAAAAAATCATGTAGGGAGAGTGCTCTCGGAATAATGGATGTTTGGCAGAGTTTGTCGAGAAACAGATGAGTGTTTCATTGTAAAAATAAAAGAAACGCAACAATTCTATTTACTAATTGATAATATCTCTCTTCTATATTATCTTCTAAAAATAATATAGAAGAAAGAAACACTATATATTCTGACTGTTGGAAAGGATATACAACCTAAGAACTAAATAAAGCGAACTAAAACCATTTCCAGGTGAATCACTGGTATAGCTTTGTCGATCCACACTCAACACATAGAACTATTATGGGGCTCAGCTAAGTGGAGGAATAAAATATATCGAGGAACTGCGATGCTACTCCGGGATTCATATATTTAGCTACTGCAGTACACAAAATCATATTTATGTGAATTTTTGTGGCGATGGGTGCACAGAGAAGAGACGTGTTCCTCGCTATTTTAACTAGCATTAAGCTATTTTGTCTTCCAAAATGAATAAAATGTTGTAAAATAAAAGAGTTTTGTTATTATTACATTTCTGTTTGTTTATTTCAATTTCCATAATTATAAATAAGGAGGTAGGTGTTATCAGTGTTCAGATTATAAATAATGATGGATAGCAGTACGTGGTGACCAGTTAACTCACAAGTGCCAAATATAGCACTGGTTTAACTGTTTGTGATCTGAGGTAGAAGAATTAATAAGAAGTCTACATATTCTCCCACCATAAGTTAATATAATCACCTAGTGTGTAACTTCAATTAGAACTTCAGAAGGAAGATCCAGCAATAATGAGATGAGCATAATTTTAGTTGAAATGGAAGAAATAGGCGAAGCCTATCAAAAATCAAACTTTATTTTCTAATGATGTAGATATGGGCAGATAATTTGTTTAGGGAAGAGGTTCATGGATCAATTACGTAATTTGTATGAATAGATTAAAAAAAAAAAAAAAAAAAATATATATATATATATATATATATATATATATATATATATATATATATATATAAAGAAATATAAGATAGCGATATTTTAGTCTCTCTCTTCCACATCCCGATAAAGATATAACAAAGTAACATTGATCCCTTAGTTCATTTCATTGAACTACAGTTTTGAACTCCTAAATTTCTGTGGATATCTCATCGGTACTTGACCTATATACCCATTCCAAGCAGTGCCGGCCTTAGACAATCAGCACACCCGAGCAATGATATCTTCTCTCCACCCCTAAAAAATTAAATTTATTTCTTAAGCTGTTTTATCTTATGTAATATTTCAGTTTTATTTCATTCAACATTTCTCTAATACAGTTGCTTTATTGGCAGGCTAAAATTAATTATTTTAATATGTTTTGTATTTTTTTAAAAATTTCTAACTAGCGGCAAGCGCTCCTGAAGATCGACCAGTGCTCCCAACAGATGCCCCTCCAGGTTGGCGCCCTGGGGCGATTGCCCCTGTACCCTTCCCCCACCCTAATGTCTGCACTGATTCCAAGTCCAGAAGGAGAATTTTTCTCTAATATTAAAGTGATAATGGATCCAAGGATTGTATATACAAACTTTTAGTCTTCAGGTCCATTTTAATTTTTTCGAATTTATCCAGAACTTTAGAAGGAATAATCCATTATTAACTTTTCTCTTTACCTTAGACTAAACTCTTTCCTAAATCCCTTTCAATTCAAGATAATAATCCGACATAAATATCGAATGCGGTAGTTGCCATCTGTTATTATTAACCATTTCTGTTTGTATATTTATTTAAAACTGCTCAGCGTAGTGGCCAACTTATACATTAAACATCCTATCTAAAAAATGAAAAAATTAGACTTAAATTTAATTGTTTTCATTTGTATTAAAAGGGCAAAAGTTCATATGATGGTGAAGTTTTGATTTTAATTAATACATGCCACTTTTGCCTATTATTCTATATTGAATAATAATTTTTAACTATTATTTAATTATAAACTATATATTACTGTCCACCTTTTTTTTTAAAGTAATAGTTTCTTATAATGCTTAAAATAGAACATATCAATCTCATGATAAAAAGAATATGATGAACTTTTTTTTTTTTTTTTTCAGAATTGAAGATTTATTTCCGATTTTAAATTTATTACATATTATTAGTACAATCATTTCAGTAATAAATATCATATATTTTTGATGAAATCATAGCAGATAATGTTTTATCACTAGTTTATTAGTAAATAAAAACTTTAATTAAATAAAGACATACTGATTGTTCAATGTTTGGGGTTTAGCATTTATTTTAGATTAAAATTGTTTCTATTGTTGATTTTATTGATATGTTTATTGGCTTTAGTTATATTTAAATCCCTTTAAAAAATAAGTTTTTAATTAGACCTAAAATGTAATACTAAAATCCTACAAAAATGATTTTCTACAGTTTTGTTTAAATTTTAAACTATTATTCCATTTAATTTTTTACGTATGATGAAAAAAAAGAAATGAAATGTAACTATGTTCACCATTATCTTAAAAACTTCTTGGATACGATTGCATATCCAAGAACTGTTGTACTGAGGAACAGCTTCACTGCTTCTAGATCTATCAGGACAAAGCAGTATGGAAATGTGTCAGTGGAAATTCTAAGAAATCTGTCTCGTTCTATTTCCTTAAAGTAGTACTTAGATGCCAGCAGTCTCATCCAGCCATCCATCTCAGCAGCCATCCATTTAGTGGGCAGGACCAGCGAAATTGTACCTTTACTAAGAATCACCTTAGGCATGCAATCTTTCATTGATCCACTAAAAATACTAATTCTATTTGATTTTTTTGATACCATTGATTTTGGGATTCTCTTTTTCTAACTGTAACTTGTTTTTATCTGATAGCACTTATTAATTACTGGTTCCATTCCTTCTTATCCCATTGTTTGCATACAGTGGTCATATCTGATAAACTGCTTCATCTGCTGTCTTCTTCGGGGGCTTCTCCCTTTTACCAATCCTTTTGTCCATTTAGATCAATGGTTTACCCGATTCTATCTATCACTCCCGATATCATATTTATTCTGATGATCTACACATTTATCTTTCTTTTCTTCCTACTGGTCTCATGGAGGTATCATATAAATTAAAAAAAACAAAAAAAAACTTGCAGTTGAATGCAGGAGACTTAGGCTATCTTTATCAGTCCTACGCTAATGTGACAAGACGTTTCGATTTTGAAGCTAATGCCCATGCATAAAGCCACAAAAAAAAATAAAAATAAATAAATGAAAGAGCTGCTTGATTGTGTAAAAACTACTGGCACCAAACATCTTAGTCTTAAAAATTGTGTTGTTGTTGAAGTCATAAATTAGAAGTCAAATTCATCATCGAAATATTCGCTCTCAAAAATACTCCTTTAGAACTAAATTCTCAACCTTATTTCAGCGGAATGCTATGTCCCGGATTAACATATGCATTTAATTATCACTATATAAAATTAATTATTGTAACAACAAATTCGGACTATTGTTTGGGCTTAATCTCATTTATTAATTTAATTTTTTTTTAATATTTCATAGCTTGAGGTTTTCCTGTTTTATTTCCAGGATTTTATAAAAATTGACTTATCCTTAAAGTGATGCCCACAATCATGCCTAATTTTTCTTATTTGTTCAATATAGAAATCTCTGCTTTAAATTATAAGTAAATTGATATACCAATAAAACTCAAAATGAAGATTTCATAAATCAAAAAGAAATTGTACAGAGCTTACTTTTTCCAGTTTAATTTTTACTGATTTAATTTAATTTACTTATTTTAAAAAAAATACTGTCAGAATTCTAAATGGAATAAATATCTATTAATCTTATTAAATCGAGCAAGTTTTCAGTAAGGTAAAAAAGGTGTGTTCTCGTGGTTTTTATAATATTTTTTGTGATTAGTTTTTAGGTTTTTTTACAATTTAAGTATAATCTCAAAATTATTCCTTATTGAGTGCCTGTTTATAATTTATAGAAAAAATATATACCTAAGTTCAAGAAAATCTCCTCCAAAACAGCAATATTTTATTCACTCTTGACGAGGTTTGTCATGCTTTTTTTTTTTGTGTGTGAGTTTAAACACTAGTGAAGTTACGTTATTCGGTGAAATTATATTTAGGATCAATTGGTGAAATTATTAAAAATCAATTCTCTATAAATCAGAATAACATTCTAGAAAATTTCATATTAGTGAATAAGGCATTTCTTTCTGCTGGAAATCATTAGGTTACATTATGCAGTTCGATAGTTTTTCTCTAAAGTCCTTAGTGAGTATTTAGGACCCTAGTAAACATGAGTACCAAACTTAAAGTTTATTGCTCTTGTTATTTTGGAAATATCACAACGAGTGAGTGAATCATAAATGGTTTTTCCTATGTATAAACATTTAAAGTATACTGAGCAATAAAATTTATTTTGAAATATATCAATGATTTTCATACAATAAAATATGAACTGTGTGTTTTAGTACTTGCTTCAATCTTTTTAATATTTTTCTATTAATATATTTTATAATTAATCATTTATTGTGTTATTAGGTATACAAATTGTCTATTGTTCTTTCTTATAGGTATGGTGATGAGGTTATGGAATTAATTGATGAGCTCTCTGCAGGTATAACAGATAAAAGCTCAAAATTCGATAGTAAAGCTTTTTCATTAGCTTCAAGTGCTGTTGAAGCTAAAGTCAAAGGTAAATTATTTTAATTCATTGCAAATATGTTAAAATTCCCTGCCAAGGATTTTATAATTTTTCGTTTCAGCTTTTACTGGACAGAGTGGTGGTCAGACACAAAATCAAAATCCTCGTGTGAGGGGTACTACAGGACCTATAGCTTTTGTAAAGGCCTCAGATCCCGGCCCATCAACATCTAAACAGGATGTAATTGACCTTACAGAGAGCCCACCTTATAGAAAAAGACCATCTGATGGTTCTGTTAATGGAAGAAATCCTAAGTTCATGAGATCTAATCCACAACAAAACCAGCCACCGCATCGATCTACACAACCTTTGCCTCACGATTCCCAACGGTTTCAGCCACCATCACAAAATCGGTTCCAGGAGGATCATTCCGAGGATGATCGATTGTTTTCTTATGAAACAAAAAGGGCTATTAATCATGTAAGACAAATAGTGGATAGTGGACCTTTTGGAAAAGTGGTTGTGTTCAAAAGTACTGTTCGTGATGAAGGACCTATTAACATTATCGAGAGAGCAGCAAGTGCTGCACATATGACGACAGCATATGGAATTTCTCAAAATCATGACCTATAGTAAGCCTTTATAATAAATATAAAATAAATTTTTTATTGTCATTTTATTTTTATTTGTTAGGTAATAATAGCTTTGACTTTTCCTAAATGCAAACATTTTTACACATGTAATTTCTAAAGTGTAGAGAATAATTTAACTAATTTATTTACTTTCTTAAGAAATGTTCTTAATTCAATTTCTAAAGATGGAGCATATGGTTATAATTTAATATTAAAAGAAGTTGATTGGGGGTACAATTGAAGGTGAAAATACAGAAAACTTGACTTATTTTGAAGACCTCAGACAAGCAGTCCTGATGAAGGTGCCAAAACATTGGCACAAAGGAAATCAATTTTTTTTTTGTACTTTCACCTTTTACTGCACCTTCTTTGTTTATTTTGTATTGATGATGCCTAAATCGATTAAAGGTTGACAGGTTAATTGGTTATCTGTATTTTAGAGACTTAAGGCTTTGTATTTTAAAATCATCTAATTATATTTAAGTGAAAATTAACATTTCATTTCCATACCAAAAGAAACAATGTCGCAAAAGTCTTTAACTAACTGTTGCATACTTATAAAATTTCACTGTAAAAAGTTAAGTTGATTGATAGATATGAAATTTGACTGATTAACATATCTACACTGCCTTATAGAGTTGAAAAGAGAAAAATAGAATTCATATGAATCTTCATTATAATTAATACGTAGCTGAATTAAAATGTAAAAAAGGCTGAGTTTTAAAGAGTCAATATTTATGCCAGAACAATTAGTTTAGTGATGGTTACAAATATTTCATCATAACAGAGAACTACTTTGATAGAAATATTTTTTATTCAGATTTAAATTTAAATCTGACTTTGTTTTATCTTGTTCAAACTGTTTTAATTTTTTCTGATTATTTAATTAAATTAAATTTGATGGAGCTAATATTAGAAGATGAATTAAATTTATTTTTCTATTATCATCTATTGAATGATTTACAATAAAAAATTAATTATTCACCTTCTTCAGAAACTCATTCTTCCTAAAAACTGGAAGTTGTCAAATGCCTTAATTCTATAAAGCATTGCATCTTATCGTGAACAAACTACACCTGAAGAACTGCTTTTCTTGAGTTTAGTCCAGCACTACAGAACAAAATAATTTATGGCTTTGTATTGTGTTAATGCTGGTCCAGTAAGTAAGCGTAAGGTTTATTATTGACGGTTAAGGAACTATGTAACTGAAGTAATAAATATCACATTACTTCCAAGCTTAAGCCTTGATCATTATTTTTAATCTCACCTTTTATTTATTTATTTTTATTGCCTTTCCATTCTTGTCTCTTTGCTCTTTGGTTGTTAAGTGATAATAAGATGCAAATTGGACAGAGGAATCTGCTATAATTTTCAGAATGCAATTGAAAATGAATATTTAAATATATTCATTTCATTTCAAATATGCTTTTCTCTATTTTATATTATTTTAAACTATTATTTTTCTCTTTGATTAATATTTTTTTCCACTTAGTTCCTGTAAGTTCTCCATGGATGGCATGTACTTGGCTACTGGAGAAGGAAGAACTCAAAAAATTGCCAAAGAAGCTGCATGTGCTATTGCGCTTGATAGACTTAAAGAAACTTCTTTTACTGTTTTGGTTTGTTGAATTTTTTATTTCATATTATCTTGGAAACTAACTTGATTTTATCACAGCTTTAATAATTATAAAAATTGAATCTATGGTTTTTTATTATTTTTCTCTACAGCGTATATTCTTAAACAACTTTTTGGCTGCTAAGTTTTTGGATGAACTGAATAAGTTTTGATTGGAAAATAATTTTAAGCCTATAATCATTTATATGATTTACATAATAATAATATCGTCGGTTGATTGCAAAAAGTCATTTTTTTTTTTTTTTTGGCTTTAAGATTTAAAACAGAATTTCATTGTGACAGAAATTTATATTTTTTAAGTATTAAAGCCATAATTTTATTTTTTTAATCAATTTTTTAAGTTAACTTATTGTGGCCTTCACAATCTTGCTTTTTTATTATTTTAGGAATATTAAGAGACAACCCCTCGACATATTTCCTCTTCTCCTTGTTAAAATGCTTACACGATATTACCAGATGTAGTTTGTCCTTGACTTGGTCACATATCTCACAATTTGGTTTCGCCTTTATTTCGATCAAGTTTAAGAATTTATTTGTATTTTCATGGTTGGTTCTCAGCTTTATTAGGTTTGTTACCTCACTTCTTTCCAAACATATTCCAAGAGAGGTGAACCAAGGGTTTTAAAGAGATTTTTGAGTAGATTAAATAGTGGTCCCCATTTGTTATGCTAGAATCCCAGTCATATAAATTCTGCCATTCGTTGACAATTGTTTTATTTAGTGAATGGAAAATGTCAGTTTTGGGGACTTAAGAATTAATTCTTATTGCATTGGTAGTATCTTGCCCAATTAGATCTGCACTTCCATTTTCGTGTAGACCCACATGTAGACATAGATACCCAATGGAATGAAAATTTATTGCTTGGTCTGGAAGTTAATAGATAGAATGTAATTGACAATTGGGGAAATGTGTGCATTTTGTTGACATTAATGTAATTGACAATTGGGGAAATGTGTGCATTTTGTAGCCATTGGTATACTGGAGGCTGAATCTGTGAGAACGACTGTATTACACTTTTTATAGTGTAGTTTAGTATGTTCTGCATGAACAATTCTGAAGCTGTTTGGGATAGAATAAGAAAGACTCACCTTTTTTTGTGGGTCATAAACGGCTATTGTACCGGTGGTCTTAGAAGCATCAGTATAAATTTTAATATGGTTAGAGTAACTATCAGCTGTTTCACAGAGGGAATTTGAAAAATATGGTGATATTGAATTTTTATTTGGCAATTTGTATTTACTACGATTAAGAATTAAAGATTTCGGAATACGTGTACAGAGATCTAGAAGACCGGGGGAACAAAAAGTCATTAAGTAAAATTTTAACGAATTTAAGATAATGGAATTTGAAATTTTTGATTCATTAAAAAAAATAATAATATAGCAATTTGATTATTTTTTGTTATTTTCAATTCTAATTAAAAACGAAAAACTGAAACCACGACAAACATAGTGACTTTTTGCACACTTTAATAGTTGAATAAAATACTCACTTTTATAACCTTGCAAGTTCATAGAATGTGAGTTAGACTTATCTCACTTAGTTTTGTTAATCCTCTGATCAATTAATCCAGTGAAAGAAGTCATCAAGTACCAGATAATGAATTTCAGTATCCCACATTAACCTTATTAGAGAACCAGAATTTCATTCTTCATCATGACTTTATGACTTCTTGTTCTGTAAAGTCAGAACATGCTGTATCTAGTGAAATTACTTTTTACATATAAGAGGATTTCTATTATTTATATGCACTTAATGAGTTTTGTATGGATATATATGATCAAAATAAACTACTACACACCTTCAGTTTTAAATTGACCAAAAGTGTACTTAGTGACTTTTTGCAATAAACAGATGGTATGCTTTAATGTGATTAGTATAAACAAATAAAATAAATAGATTTTTAGAAGTGAGATAAATGAAATTAAGATAAAAATGAATGAAAGAAATATAAATAAAATAAATTTAGACAGTAAAAACATAAACCATGTCCAGATTAATATGTGAAAATGAGAAATAATTGACTAACTTGAAAGAAAAGGTGGAAGAAGATCATTCATGAAACTTTTTTTAAGGGGCATGAAAGAACTTATGATGAAATAGAGTGAATGAAGAAGATATTTGAAGAAACAATGCCAAGATATTCTATTTCAGGTTGGCATTTAAAATAGACTATACAGGTATGGCCATGTCAAAAGAATCCAGGAGGATAGAATAGCCAAAATCATGCACGAGGCGAAAGTGAAAGAAGGCCAAAAGGAGACCTAGAAACACGAGGGAAAGTGTAGTTACAGAGGCTTTCAATAGGATAGGAATAGACAGGAAAAGACACAGTCATCTGGTGCGAGATTGTGAAAAATGGATGGATCAGGCTCCGTAAACAGGATCCTTAATATTAATTAATGATAGACGAGGACTAGATCAACAAGAAGATGTTGATGTATGTCTTATGTTGTAAAAGTCATAAATATATGGATGATAAAAAGGTCAATGGACATAAATCCTTAATTAAAATGAAAACTTCACTAGAGAAGCAAAAGAAAAAAATAGTTCAAACTGTTTATCTTGCATTTTCAAGAGATAATTATAATTTAGAGAATTTTTGAAACTTGTGAGCCACAATTTAAAATGTAAGCCCATTAGCTTTAGAATAGAGTAAATCAAGACGAACCTTTCTAAAAAAAAATCATACAATCATTATGATTACAACTTTCCACTTATGCATAATCATGATCAACCTGATGATTATCATTACAGAGGAGTTGTAAATTTTTTAGTTTTTAAGAGTTATTTCTTTCATTCTTTCAAACCGGCGATATGATAAAAAATTAATGTTTTTAAAAGTCCATGTTTCGGACTATTAAAAAAAAAATGTGGTTTGCGCATCACACAAGTTTCACTTACCACTCTACTTTTATAGAAATTATTTTCTGGCAGTGTTGGGTTATTACAAAATTTAGTTTTGTAATATTTACTAGGAATGTTAGGAAAATGTTAATTTACTAGGAAATTTCATTTAATTTCCTTGGAAATTCCGTTAAATAATCTTAGTTATGGGAAATTATTATTAATAATCATTTTATCACTCTCTATTACCTATATATGATATTGTTTTGTCTAAAATCTTCTGCTTTCCAACGATATATTGTATGTGTACCTTTTGACTATTATTTCCAGAGATTCATTTTCAACCTAAATAAGTATTTTTCCTTTATTCAATTATCAAATTCTTCCAAAAGTTATATTTAGCCTTTTTTCATAAATGCGAACAATGAGAGATAGTTAATTATTTTAAGGAAAGAAAATTAAAAGTATTGTAGAGAAGGAATTTTGAACATTGATTATTTAAGCCCTATTAAGCGACATCAATGGGGATAAGACTTAAAATGATATTAAAGACAACTTCATTAAACATTGATACGCCGAGTTTAATCAAAATCTTCATGATTGCAATATTTTCTCTTACTATATACTACATGTACACGTAAGTGAAAGTAAATATAGGTGTGACAATAGTAAGTTTTAAAACAATAATTCTACCTTCTACGTGCAATGAAACTATTATTTAATACTTTTATCTGTGTAAAAGTTACCAGCAGAGAAAAACCATTTGTTAACTTGTAACAGTTGGGTTATTGGCTATATTTGGTCAAATTTTGCCTAAAAGTCCTTCGACTACGGTAACAAGAAACCACTGTTGATCCACAATTTTTAGAACTATCCTAATCTCCCTTTTCCGAATCAAGCCCAGGCAATGCTCCGAACTTCAGTTAATATTTCTATATAATTCATTTTAGAGACCAAAATAAATCATATGAAAAAAATTATTGGAATTTGAATAAATTTTAAAAACTATGATAACGTTAAACTTCTTAATTTTACAGTATGATAAATAATAAAATCCTACAATATTATTGTTATTAAAGAATATTTGAACACTATTACATACATATGTTCTACGATATTTAAAAGTCTTGTATTTTAACACGTTTTATGCAAGAATATAAAAATACAACAAAACTTTTATGGAATTACAAATTTTACTATGAATATTTTGTTTTTATGTTATAATTAGGAAGCGAAATAAACTCCAACAATTTTGTTTTCTGTACTGAATCAGACAGTACAATATATTCTATAGAGTTTTGTTAGTAGTGTCTCTTCATTAGAAATTTTCAAGAAGAACATCTTGTAGAATGACAATAAAATAAATTGTCAATGATAAAAAAGAAATAAACAATCCTAGTTTCTACTTTAATAGATATCTTTATTAACATATTTAATAATTTTGTTACAAATATCTTCTTCTTCTTCTTCCACGGCACTACAACTCATGAAGAGTCTTGGCCTCCTCAAGACGTGTCCGCCAGACATGTCTCTATCCTGTGCAGCCGCTTTCCAGTTACGTACTCCAAGTAGTGCATGTGCATCCCTTGTCACACAATCCTGCCATCGCAGACGTGGTCTTCCTACTTTCCTAGAGTCTTGTTCATTGCTCTCCATAGTTTTTTTGGGGATTTCATCATTTTGCATCCTCGCCACATGCCCTGCCCATCACAGTCTTGCAAGCTTTATGATTCTTATGATATCCGGCTCCTTGAATAGATCGTAAAGCTCTGTGTTGTGTCTAATCCTCCAATTCTGTTCATCGTGCACAGGACCATAGATTCTGCGGAGTACCTTCCGCTCAAATAATCCTAAGGCTCGCTCGTCTCCTTGTGTCATGGTCCAGGCTTCGGAGCCATAAATCAGTACCGGACGAATGAGCGTTTTATAAAGCTGTGTCTTTGTGCTGCGAGAGATGAGTTTAGTTTTGAAATGTTTATTTAAGCAAAAATAGCACTTGTTTTCAGCTACTATTCTTCTCTTGATCTCTAGGTTTCCTTTGTTGTCTCTATTTACCAGAGATCCCAGATATGCAAACTCATTAACTCTCTGGAACTTATAGTGCACGATATCCAGGTGTTGTTCTCGGGCGGTAGCACTACCTCCAATACACATATTTCACATATTTTATACACATATACACATATTTGGTTTTTGCTTTGTTAATGACCAGTCCTAACTCTGCAGCTGCTGCTTCTAGTAGGACAAACACTTCTTTCATAGCATTCATCAATCTGGCTATTATGTCGATGTCATCGGCATATGCAAGTAACTGTACGGTCTTATTGAATAGCGCACCAGTAGTCTGGATGCCAGAATCCCTCACAGCTTTTTCGAGTGACAGGTTAAATAGGAGGCAGGCAAGAGCATCTCCTTGTCGCAGTCCTTTAGATGTCATGAACCTCTTTGATAGGTCTCCCTGTACTCGGACGACACACTCTACGCCCATCATGGTCATCCTGACGAGGCGGACCAGTTTTGGTGGTATGTTCATTCCACTCATTGCTCTGTATAACTGCTATCAATGCTATCATAAGCAGCTCTAAAATCTATAAAGAGATGATGAGTTTTAACATTATATTTCATCGTTTTCTCCAGCAGCATTCTAAGGGTGAATATCTGATCAGGGGTCGATTTTTCTCTTCTGAATCCACACTGGTATTTACCGATTTCTCGCTCTGCAAACGGCAAATGCCTCTATAATTTTCACAGTTAAGTTTATCGCCTTTCTTGTATATAGGGCATATCACAGACTTGTTCCAATCCTTAGGTAATTCCTTTTCTCTCCAGATACTCAAGAATAGCTCGCGTAAGATTTTTATTAGCTCGGTTTCCCCATATTTGTATAGATCACCTGGGAGTCCATCAAATCCTGGGGTCTTGTTGTTTTTGAGCTTTCTGATTGCCTTCTCTACTTCCTCATCATCTGATGATTCCAGATCATCATTGGCACTATAACCAGATGTTACAGCATCATCCTCATCAATGTTGTTATTTCTCAATCCTTCACTAAGGAGGTCTTCGAAATATCTTCTCCATCTATCTAGAATATCCACCTTCTCCATCAGAAGAATACCATTTCCATCTCTGCATGAAGAAATTGGTTGATAAGGTTTGTGCCCTTCATTAATTTTTTGGTAGAATTTCCTCACTTCGTTTAGGTTCCTGTGCTCTTTAATGGCATCCAACTCATTGCTTTCGTATTCCCGTTTTTTTCTCTTGTGTAACCTTTTTTCAATTCTTCTTTTTTCACGATATTCCTCAGTTGCAGCTCGAGTATTTCTTTTTTGGAGCATTTTTCTACTGGCCTCATTACAAATATATTAGGTTAAATTAACATTCCAATTCTGTTTTTGTTTATTTTATTTATTGTTTTTAGGTGAAGGCATCTTTTGTTGAAGGTGAAAAAGTAGATAGAGATTTACAGAGAACAAATAATGACACAGCTCCACAGAGAGCTCATGTTGACATACCTATTGCAGAAAGCAACATTGGTAACAAATTGATGAAGTTAATGGGATGGACAGGAGGTGGCCTTGGTAGGGACGAACAGGGTATTGCCGAACCTGTCAAGTAATACAAACTTTTTTATTCATTTTAGTCAGAATTTTTTTTTTTTTTTTATCAACAGCCACTCTACAAATGCCTGTAAGTGCAAAAATTAAAAATATTTAGAAGTAGAGATAAACTGAATTTTCTATGTTACCGATGAGATTTTCTGTTCAATCTTTATTGAAATATCTATGTCTATAATATCTAATGTCTTAAATAATATTCTTAATTTGTATTTTTGAATAAGCCCATGGCCAAGATGGACCAGAAATGCTCATTAACTGATCTCACAATAAAATTGTTCTTATAGTGCAGTGTGGCTGTTGATTTTGTTAGTATTAATTAATCATATTACAAAATTGATGTGGTTTTATGTTCCTAAAGGATAACTGTTATTCCATTATGATTTTTTATTATTTATGAAATAAATTAATTTAAAAATCCAGGAAATGATAATGATGGTCTGGGTATTGGATGTGTGTTGGAATAAAATTAAAAATCATTAACTGTTTCTTCAACTACAAATCGGCACGTGATGCAGCCATTTTCAAGCCGCAGCTTCAAACTACAGCTGTCTGATTGGTGCTTTGAATACCATATTTACTTTATCATCCATGCGCAATGACTGAGAGCATACTGTTTGATATCCTCCATCCTCTACTGATCATAATTGATTTTTTACCTAGCTTCAATTCTTGCCAGTCAGATTATATTGAAAACCCATAGGAATATTACACTTTCTGGGTTCATGAAGAAGCCCACTCTGTGTGAATAGCCATTCACCTTCAGGAAATTGTTGCTTAGTTTGTGGACTGCTTCTAGAGGCCCATTAAAGTCTGTTTCTTAAAGTGCCCCTATCTTCAAATGAACATCATTCACACGTATATCGTGTTTAATCACCAATTTTTTCTTCCTTATTCTTCAAAGCCTTCTTTTGAAGTATTATTTTTTTGATATAGGATTTTAGTGGTATTTTTTTAATGTTTACTTTCATAATAATTCTCTATTATTAGTCTGCTTATTTTCATATATTTTTTTTGGCGAACATAGTTTTATGAAATATTAACTCCATGTTAGGAGTGCCTTCGCTGGGAGATTTCTTCGATCAAGCATTCATGTTAATTCTGCAGGGGAAGTTCACTAATGATGATCACATTTAGAATATATGAAAAAAAAAAAGGCATTTGTCAAGTTTTTAAATAAATAGATTTTATTTTATTTTTATTATAAAATACTATTGATTATACATGTTTCTTTTTAATTATTTATTAGTTTATTTGGTTATATGTATTTATTCTGGTTTTTTAGGGTTCAAGAACGTGAAGTGAGGAGAGGAGGATTGGGAATAACAAATTTCCATGACTTCAGAAGAAAGGTTACTCGCATCATTGAAGATTATGCTCATTCCGATAATAAACAAGATCTCGTTTTCACACCTGATTTTACTAAAGATGAGCGAAGAACTATTCATGAGTTAGTTCAATTTAAGTTATTTTATTGTATATCTATGTAAAAAGTTCTTGATATATAATTATTCTATTCCTTAAAGTCATCCCAGTAGTAACCTAAGTTTGTAACCCCAAACATGTAACTATTGTTTTTTATATGCAATTTTATCATTAATGTAACAATATATAGTTATATTGTTTGTATTAATTATACATGTATTTTTTAGATATGTAATCTTATACTTTTATAATAAAACATGATACAAAAAATAATAGCAAAAATACAACAAAAAGAAAAAATTGAAATTACAATTCTAAAACCTGTGCTTCCTTGCTTGCATATGTGCATTTTTTTGTTTATATTTGTATTGTACTTTTTTATCAATGGTTTGTTAAAATAGATGTTCCATTTTTTAATTTTTGTTCTGTTATTTATTTATTATTTTACAAATTCGGGTCAATGAGATTACAGTTTATTGTCATAGCTTCTTCATAAATCATTTTATATCCATACAGACTTTATAAATTTGAATGTATGACTATTAGAGAAATTCATTTTAAAAAAATTCTGTAAAATATCTCATAGTTAAATTTTTTTTTCCAGATTGGTGCGAAAGTATAATTTAAAGTCTAGAAGTTATGGAAAGAATGAAGACCAGAGGCATTTAGTAGTCTTTAGGAAGGTACAACCTTTAGAAATTGTTCAGGACTTGTTAGCATGTGGTGGTGAAACTGAAAAGTACAAATTAATTTCTCCATTACCAATGACTCGTTAACAGAAAAGTTTTCATGGATATATATTTTGTATTTATTCAGAAATCTTATATATTTATGTTTATTTATAAACATAATGGATTATGAAATATTTTTATCATTTTATAAATATATTTATAAGATTATATATGTTGTATAACCTTATCCATGTAATTCCAATTATATTTTTAATTTTCAGTTACTATTATCTATTACGTTTCAACTAATTCAAACCATTATAGTATTAGAAAAAAAGCATTTAAACAAATTATAAGAAGTGGTTAAACAAAGTGTTAAAGAAATATAGAAAGATTAGAAATTCTAGTTGCAGAAAAGACATATGAAAATTACTGAACAATGTTATCAATAGCACAATTTTGATTATTATTTACCTAGAATCTGATTATAAATTTATTAAAGCTCATGAAAAGTAAATAAATAAATTGAAAATATTGACTATCACATGAGTGAGTTAATTAAAATATTATTATAGATTTTAAATAAGGCCCTATAAAGATATTCAACTGAGTATGATTAAATATGTGTAATTTATACGCATAAAGTAAAATAATTACTAGAAGGGATAAAGGTAGTAGTCTGTCTTTAATGAAATACTGAGAAAATAGAATAAGGAAAGTTTGAAAAAGAAAAAAAAATGAAAATAAAATTATAGTCAAAGTTATAATTATAAAATTATAGTCATTTATTTTATAAAAATAATACAAAAAAAAAAACTGATGTTTGCATTTCACTCAATTTTCACTTACCATCCTCTATTTTGAGTAAGAAATCATTTTAAATATATGATTGAACTTCAAGAATATTACTTTAACTATAATTCCACTATTCATTTCTGGGATGTCAAGCTGAAAATAAATTTAAAATAAAATCAATTTTTCAGTGTAGTTTTCATTTAGTTTCTATTTAAAGTCATTCAATGATATATTATACATACATATATATTATGTATATTATTCCTAGAATTTTATTTTCACTTTAGAAAGTATTTCTCCTATATTAATTTTTAAATTCTTTCTTGGTTTATATATATTGTCAATTTGTTGAGACATCTAACAATTAAATATGGCTAATTATTTCAAATAGTGGAAGAAATTTTGAAAATACAGCTTTTAATGAGATCTACCAGACTAATTTAAATGAGAAAAACTCCTAGCTGATATTATAGACAGTTATGTTTTACATTAATATGAGTTTAATAGAAATTTTTAGAGCAATGTTCTAAAAAAATTGTAAAATCAATAAAATAAAGTGTTACTTCTGGTGAGTCGATTACATAGAAAAAGTTGCTGTAACATCTCAGGCATATAAATACCTTAAATACGTGATTTCAGTTTCGTACAATTTGTCATTTTTTAGATTTCACTGACATAAACAATTTGGTCATTTGGATTCATGGGAACTAAAAATTTGTATTTCAATTTGGATAACTAAATTTTGATGATCCCAATACTTCCTTTTAATTTTTATTTTATATATAGACAAATGAAAATAATAGATTCATTATAGAAAGAAACTGTTTTAACAAACAAAGCAGTGGTATCTAAAGTCTATATTCACTTTTTTACCATAATTCAATTTAATCACAATCTTCCAGTGCTAATTATTCTTTATTCAATTATATGTATTATACCAGTGGAAATATTGTTGGCCATAAAACAACAAATGTTGGTTGGGAGTGTTTTCAAAGATAAAATTATATACAAATGAGTAGCTTTATTTTACTGTGTACTGACATTTTGGTCTAAATTTTAAATCTACATCAGGCCTGACGTAAAACAAAATAATAAACCATATGAATGTAAATAAAAACTGATCAATCGGCCCCTTCGACGTCTGGTCATCAGGACTATGTCCCCTGCTGCTCCCCTTCTCTCGTCAGTCATGTTTAACACTCTTGCTCTCATGTTGGTTAAAATATTTTATCTGGAAAACACTAGATGAATATAAAATACAAATACAAACAAAGTCAGACCTTTACATATTTAATCATATATTTTTTTTTAACCTTCATTTAGAACAAAACATCAGCATAAAATAAAATTAAGTTTCTTATTTTTGTGTAGTTTCATCTGTGACCACACCCCCATCCAAGTTCTACTGTATCTTGATGTGTTTTGTTCATAGCCAGGGTTCATTTGTATTATATCTGGATTTGAAGATGAGTTCAAGGGAGGAATAGCCTCCTTTTAAATATATTCGAGTAGTTTTATGACACACATATTCTGCAACTACTATTTCTTGTCCTATTTTTTCACATAACAAGCTGGAACCTATTTGAAATTTATTCACATAAGATCACTTGGACAACTTCCAAATATATTTCATTCTTAGTTAACCATTAATTACATATTTATTCCCATTATAAGTTTTTTAGATTTTAATTAATTAATCATTAATGTGTGGAAACAGTTATTTAAATATACTATATTTTTTGTTTTCCACTGACAGGAACCAGTTTCTAAACTGTTCGTCAGCTGGCATAGTAATTACTATTTAGTTATAATTTTAACTGGTTATCAGAAATTTGTTTCTAAATATTTCTTTTGACCTCAAAATAAAAATTATAAATTGGTTGTTATGTAAGGGGTTGATCTATTCTGAGTTTTATCTTATTTGTTTAACATTATTTTATTAATCCTAGATTAAGTCAGGTTGAAGTAAATATAAGACTATGCTTACCCTTGATTTAGCAACCCCTGTTATCGATCAGGAAAATAAATGTAATTATGTCATTTCAAACTATACATTGCAAATACAGTAAATAAATTTAAGAGTTTAAAGCAGTACAAGTATTGTTCTGCTGAGAGATATCAAATCTGAATAGTCAAGTTGAAGGTGGATTAAACTTTTCAACCTATGATGATATAACAATATTCAAATAACAAAATGGCAGTCAACAAGCTACTGTTTGCAAATAAAATTTTCTATTAAATTAAGCAAATGTATTTATCAGAAGCTCTAGGTGAAAAATGATATCACTTGCTGTTGTGTTAAAATTTGGTGTAATATGTATTTGACAGTTCAGGTTTATAAGGACTAGGCTCTGGCCAGCACATTCTACCATATTTCTAGTCATTCAGCTTCAGACATTTAAAATGTTTTAATAAGCATACTAGATTGTAGTGTTCTAGATTTTTCATGAACTATTTTGTTATTATATACGTTACCTGGTATTAAATATTATTCTTTTAAAAATAAATGTTAGCCAAATAACACAGTAATGATTGATTCAGCAGAAATTGTCCCATGTGGATTTTTATGTGAGCTTTTAAGAAACGGGTTTGTTTATTAGAATTTTTCATGGTAGCTGGTTGGCTGTTATTTATATTTGTTATTTCGTTAATTGCAAAGTGTTGGATCCTCCTTGTGATAATACCACACATATATCCGTCCATTAACATGGCCGTACTGTCAGGATATATATTCAACCATGGAAAGAATTCAAGAACTAATGAACAAATTCTATATTATTATTTGTGGGGTGTGAGACTTTTTATTGGCTATAAAATAAAATAAATTAATAATCTAAAGTGCTTTATTTTTGTAGATTCTACAATGTTAGGCACCCCTTTCCTTTCTACTTTTAAGTCAAAGTTCTTCGTTTTATGAGGAGCATATCTTTTTTGATAAGATACATTGATCATAAGGGATATTAGGCTCAATTGGAGCTAAGACAAATGTTTCTTCAGCTTTCTTCATGTTATTAATGATACTTTGAGCGTATTGTCTCATTTCTGCATCTGAGTCTGACATTATCATCTGTAGTTTTTTTGTTGGAACCTAAAATAAATTTGTTAGTATAATAAATTATAAAGACCATTAATTTATTTTCAGTAATAATTTATTAAAAAATTCGTTGATGTTTTGAATAGATATATTTTATATTCTTTGGTTAGTTGCTAAATAATATTCTCAATGCATTACCCAGTAAAATTTTGAAGTTACTACAGTAACTAAATTATTGTTTTCATTCCAATTAAAACAGATATATGAAAAATGGATTTTATTTTTTCAATGAAAGGAACTTATTAGTTTTTGCTATAGTTTATTATAGCTAAAACAGTGATAATTTTTTTCGAATATTTAAAAAATGTATATCTTATATAAGAATCGCTATGGTGTATTATACATCTGAACCTTACAATATTAAGATAATTTAGCTGTATGATTTATTAAACTTTGTCAAAATTGCTTTGAGGATTATTGTTCTAATAAAAGCATATAAAATAATCCTTCAGAAATGTTAACCAAAACATTAAAGTCAATATATAAGCAGTAAGAAATGGAAGAAGTTGTAATGCCTCCTATTCAAACATTCTAGTTATTATAAACTAAATGAATTTGTTTTCAATATAATGTCGAAATATATAACATAACTCAGTATTTTTCAACATAATAGGCAACAAATGTCAAGTAAATGAAAACTCACAATTTGTCTGTGTATGTTGTATACTGCAATAGACCCAAACTCATATGTGAGAGATTCAAAAAGTCTGAGAGAAAGAAGTTTCAGCTCTGGAGTACGATCACACATTATTATTTGAGTTAGTGTTTCCAACAGAGGCTTCTGATCTTGTAGTAACAATAAGCCAGCTGCATTTATACTCACATTATAAAGGATCATGAGCAGAATCCTGTAATGTATAATTTTTAAACAGCATTCAATTAAGCAAACAGAAAAAAAAAATCTTCATTTAATTTAAGTAGTAAATTGCATTGAAATTCCTTAAAGAATACTTAGAAAAGAAAAAGCACATTTATTCTGGAACATTGCACCTTAAGAATAATTAATGTGTACATAAAATTAAAGATACTTGTGGTCATGAGGCCTATTGTAATAACAATAATAATATATATAGTATGCAGGAAAGAAAAAGTAGAGAGGGAGAAGTCTGATGCTGTAACTATTCATCTCTGAAAAAGCGCATTTAATTTGTTTTTCTTTTTTACCACCTATTTACCATGATTTTATTTTATCTGATTAAGAGTTCATTTCTCCTCATGTAAACATTGGGCAACTCATTATTTACATGGCAGTAAGATTCATTTTAAGATTGAGTTATTTCCAAAGAGTAGGCCTTTTAACTCTTTGTTTACCAAATAGAGAGGTAGTCATGCAAACATTTTTGTTTGTAATCTCCCAAAATTGAAACAGTAAAAGCACAAAAGAAAGTTATCTTTTTGTCGTTCCATATTTCTAATGGCACCTCTGACACTATTGAACTGTCAGAGAAACTTTAAAGGTATGTAATAAACAGTTTAGATTTGTGAGGAATGCAAAGATGTTTGAGAAAATATTTTCTATAAAAGAGGTAATGGTGTAGAACAGGGTTCACACATATACATATTAATCTAGTAACTACCTTAGCAAAGGAATTATAAATAAAAAATGTAGGCTTTTAACATCAGACCAATATGATATCAACAAGCTTCATGTTGAGCCATGCTATTAAGTTAGTTTGTTATAATTAAAATATATACATTATATTACACTATTAAAACAAAAAACATTAATATGTTAGGCTAAGTAAATTAATAATTATTAATTAATAATCAGTAAAGGAAAATTATTAAGTCATACCTTTTTAAAGGATCTCCAGTAGTTATAGGGATTTTTGGAAGAAGATTAAGAATTTGTTCAATCAATTGTTTTCCTGAAAAATCACTGACTAGATAATGCCTTCCTTCAGGGACTGCAGCTATGTTCGCTATTATTCCTCCCATTGATAGTATAAATTGGGTTTCATCTGAATGAAGGTCTGGTAAGTCTTTAGAATATGTTTCCAAAAAAGATATCAGAGTGCCACTAGTCATTGAAAACAATTCGGGGAGCTTATTCTACAAAAAGGAATACTTGGTTTCTGTTTAAATTTTTTTTAATGCCTAATTTTCTATAAAATTTATGAAATTCTATATATAAATGTGTATTTAGAAAACAAAAAATTAATATTTAAATCAGAATTGATTATGTTTGTTTTCAAAAACAATTTAGGATTTTGTATATAAATTTAAGACCTTAATGTTTATTAATCCCTAAGTTAGTCTAAGGTCTATAGAATAATATATATTTAAAATTTATGGATTTTTATTTATTCAGTAATTGAGTAATTCTGAATATGATTAAGATATGGAAAAGATTACCATAGATTGAATAGACCATAAGCTTATAATTGTCATAAGGACTTCATAAAATAAAGGAATAAACATACAGTTGTTAAAAAAAGTTCAACTACTGGCTGTAGTCGGGAAGCTTTCCATACTAGATTTCCAAGCGTTGAACCTAGTGAGGCACAAAAAGAAGATTGTGTCCTAAGTTGATTTCTTAATTTAAACACTTCTCCTTGCATTCGGCCTAGATGCTCCTGTTGATTGTCCCATTCCTTCTGGAGACTTAAATATTTATATCTCAGCATATGAAGGTCATTTCTAAGTTGATTCTCTGTTAAAACACATTATTATTTATTAAGTAAGCTACTAGATAGAAAAACATTCAGATTACAAAAAACTGACAAAATACAGAAGCAATGTGAAAAACAGTATAAAGTATTTAGCAAATAATTAAAAATTAAGTACATAGACCAGGCTGAACTAAGCATCGCAGATTTGTCTATACATAAGAAAATGAAGTATATATTTTAGATGGTTTTGATTCAACCACTTAAATGAGTACATTTTCACATTTATATAAACATTTTCACCAACCTTCATCCTTCTCTTCAGCCATTACCTTTAGCTTGAGAATTCGGCAGTAGACCAAGAAGATTATTTAAATTATTCTTAAGAGTAAATATGCTCTTCGATAAAGCAGAAATATCAGGTCCTAGAACTGTTCCTCTCACTTCTGTGAGAAATATTGTTAAGTTTTTTCCAAGATCATTCACCTTTTGTAAGAGTTCTTCCTAAAATATTTGTATTCCTTTTTTTAGTCCTTTCACCAATATTATTCAAAAATTATTAATTTTATTATTTTTTATTGTCTATATTATATCAATTTAGATAACATTAAGATTTATTATTTTTTCATATGTAGTTTTTGACATTTTCATCTGTTTACACATAACAAACTATTTGGAATTTACAATATTTATTTCACAAAATAATAACATTTAAAAAATACCAGAATTTGCGATTCCATTTTATTAAACCACTTATTTTATTTACGATACTTATATCCTCTTATTCATTGTAATTGAATAATATTTCATAAAATATTTAATCAAATCTTTGTGGCCATTTTTTATCAAACAATTCGATCTTAGATTAAAACATTAATTTCATCAGTGTTACCATATATATTGTGTCCAAATATACGAAATTAATCAAAATATTACAATTGATTCATTAAAACCATAGCTAAAACTATTATCATTAGGGGATGTTTTAAAGTATATTAGTCATTGTTTATTAATTATAATCAGATAATGCAATTTGAAATATCAATTTTCTCCTCCTTACTACTGACGCAGTGTTACCCGATTGTCTTTAGAAGACTTGTACGTATATAAAATGTTTATGTATAACGAATAGAAACAAGTTTAATAAGGTTTATTAGGTACAATTTTTACATATATTTATTTTAACCACAAGACTTAGCTCTATTTATTATTACAAAATTTATTTTAAAATATATTTAAGTATGCTAAGTTTAGTTTTACAAATATGCTGTATGATTTAATAATGATGTAATCATAAAAATAACAAAAGATTATTAAAAGAAATATTTTAGACTAGTAGGCCCGTGCAAAAAATTCGCACAGCATATTGTTATCAAATGATAAATTAATAAGAAAATATAATAATGCAAGGTATTAAAAGCTAAAGAAATCAATTGTTACTTTATCGATACATATAATCGACAATGGAAACAAAAATTAATTTAAATCTTCATTAATATTTGGAACCAACATGTTTACAAATTTCAGTAAGCTGTATCTTTTCTCAAAATTGTCTGATTTCTTGCTGAACGCATCAAAATCTTCAAGGTCCAATTTGACCCGTTTCAATCTACAGACCTGCCACCGTTCCAGTATTGAAGCCTAGCAAAATGTTTGTGTCGACTTTATTTATTTTAAATGAAATAAAAACAAAAGTGGAGAATACGATTCGCTAACCCCCCGTGAAATTATGAATCAAACGGTACCCCATTCATGGCATTTAAGCATGACAGAAGCTTATATTTGGTACAAAACCGATTTCGAGCCTTACTGTAATAAAATATGTGGGGATTTATCATCATCATAGTAGGAGGCAGGAACAGGGATCCTCCCCGCAAGGCCGATGGCGCATAAACCTCCCCTCCCATCCCTTTCAAGATTTTATTGTTCTCGGCTTCTTAAGAACAGTGCAATTGAAAGTAGAATTTGAATATTCGTAGATTATACAGTTACACATCCTGCGGCCTACACCATGCTTCCAATTATCTTTTGATTTGAAACTTTTCATTTTGAAAATTCACAACCCCGTCGAAATATGCTTCCCTCAAAAATTGAAAACACCGTCAATATGTGCCCCTCTCCACTCATAAATTTTGATGGTGCACCTTGCGCCATGAAACCCTCTTCTGGACACCCCTGGGTACGACACCCCTTACCGAATATCGGCCTCCTTTAAAAGCCTCCGTCTGTTGTGGCAGCACTCCAAAAGAAGAACTCTGGCCTACGCATCCGCCACTCTTACATTAGGCGGAAAAACTCTCCGCTTATTTTGAAGCTTGTCGCTCAAAATCTTCTTTGTTATGTGGTCATTCTCCGTCCAAAAAAAAAAAAAAAAAAAAAAAAAGGAAACATGCCAGAGCTTCTTCTTGTATCAAACCACAGTTCGTTGTTATGGATTCGAATAGGCCAACTCCAATTCAAACCACACTGTTCGAGCCCAACTGATCATCCTTACTTCATCAACTTTTAAGGTCATAACCATAGGCGAAAACTTCGAAGGAGCGCTTCTCTAATACCTCCCAAAGTTGATCTCCCATGAGGTGACCAGATTTTAACACTGGAAAAGCGGGAAACCATTGATCGGTTGGAAGAGGCGAGAGGATGATCCAAATTGTTGTTGCAATAATTATTTTTAAATAATGGTAATCTGGTGAAATAGTGCTGAATACGGTAGAGAATTTAGTTCTAAAGACATCTTTTTGAGAGCGAATAATTCTGTGGTATATTTAATGTCTAATTTATGACATCAATAATAACTCAGTTTTTAAGACTTAGATGTTTTGTATCAGGGGTCTGGATGAGAACCTACTTACATAATTATATAACTAACAGCCATGTTGCTGATGCCAAAGATTTAACCTTTTCTTGATCAATATATTTGTTTAGTTGTTAAAAAGATTATTTTTGAGTTGTATATTAAGTACAAACAATGTTGGTTGAATTCTAACAACTGCTGAACAATGCGAACTTTGCTAAGCAGTTCTCGATAATCAGTTCTCAACAATTATTTGGTATTATTAGAGTTTAACTTTATAAAATTAACAAAAATAATATGAAATTAATATTCTAGTGAAATAGCCACATGGTCGCCGAAAGCCGTATATTCTCTTCCCGTTCTCCTACTGTTTCTAAGCTTGTTGTACATTCTTTCCAAAAGTCAGGTCTTTTTTAAATCGTTGCGTTACGCAGGAAAAATAGTTGAAAATCAGGACTGTCTCGCCAAAATCGGGAGATCTGGCCACCTTAACCACGAGGCACTTAGACTGAGACTAAGCGTGAGAATTTATTGTTCAACTCAATTTTAGATTAAGTTTCATACCATTTTCTTTTCAATTGATCCATTATTTTGTTTATTCCTTTCATCCTCCGATAGAGTTTGATTCTTGTCAGAGTTTGGTTCGAATTAAAGTTGGCTCCACGATTGAATACCATAAATTTCTGGATGTTAGACATTAGGCGTCTCGGAGAAATGACATCATCACCCTCTCTAAATATTTGAATTTTATTTCATTCAACATTTCTCTAATACAGTTGCTTTATTGATAGGCCAAAATTAATTATTTTATATTTATTTCTAACAAGTGGCGAGTGCGAGTAGAATATCAGCCGGCGTCCCGGGGCGATTGCCCCAGTTGCCCCGATGTAATCGTGCCAAAATGTAATCGTGGATATCATAATTTCGTTGTTAGTACCATATAAATATATTTTACAGAGAAAGTTTACATAAGTAGATATAGCCATAATATGTTATATAGGTTTTTTAAATCAGTATTCAGATTGTGAAGAGGTATTGTTTTTATTAGAGCATGCTATTTCTCAATTTATTTTAACGTTATACAGATTAAGGAATCATAAAGATTTTTTATTTGTCAACATTTCTAGCTAAAATTATTCTAGAAATGTAACTACTGCATCAAAACGAAAACCTATTGTCGTGTCTGAGGGTTTCCTTCTATATACTACCTTCAATTATATTGATTCAATAATATCGATCGTGTTAGGGGCCTTTAGGACCTGAAATGTATTTCACAATACCACTCCTACATGAGAAATGCCTGCCTCCTTGGGTTAACAATCGGATGGTTAAATATTCTGATGTTGATTTCCTAATTTAGCGTCAAAATGATAAGGGTGAAAAACAACCAGTATTACCGGGAAATTTAGAATTCCTGTAATTGGAAATGTTGTTTCTTCACGAATTATTGGAAATAACAGATAACCCTAAGATTTACCAGTTATATCGATTTATTCGTAATTGACGTCAATGTTAGAAATGTTTTAGAATTGACAAATATTGATATCAAAAACTGAATTACAGTGTATTCAGTATTCTTATTCCTTGTCATTAATTACTCTTTTTTTCTTCTTAATTAGCATGAAATCAATTGAATGTTTTCAGCATTCCTGTATTCTCTCTATCCTTGTCTAACATGCCATTTTCTGAGATATTTGACTGCTTCATTCAATATGCAAATTGCCGGTTTTATCGTTTTACAAGGTTTAAATTAAATTGAGGAGGAACGATAAGGAGAGGGACAATGAAAAGCAACAGAAACTTTATTTTGGCGTGCCAATAAACTTATCATTTTGATGCATTTATGACGGTTTAAATATTTATTTACCTTTTAAATATTCTCTAACTCATTACATATGTTGACCAAATCATAAAGACCTTCATCATTGACCTTCTACATTGTGTAATAATCACAGATAGCATATGACATTGATAGCTCTAATTATAATTTAACTGGTTGTAATACAATTAATTTGTCCTATCAATTAATGCAGATATTTTAAGAATTTATATATATATATATATATATATATATATATATATATATATATATATATATATACCCATACTGTATACTGTTCGAAGATAATTTGTTTCTAGCACATATGGAACTATAACATCACAGACATTAGAAAAACATATTTACCAAACTTTGTGAGGGGTACACGTCGCAATGACATACGGTATTAATAATTCAGTTTTTAAATAAATAATTATATAATTGATTTTTCCAAAATGACGTAAAAATGGCTACGTATGCTTGCATTGACAAAAAGATAAAAAACTATAACTATAAACTATAAAAATTGTTAAAAAGTCAAAAAAACATGATATTTGTGACTTTTTTTTTGTAAATTGATGCCAAAGTATAAGTTAAATTTATGCCGAAATTTTGAAATAACCCATATATCAGTGGCTGATTTACGTAAACACAGACTAGGCACTTGTCTAGAGCAGTAAAAGTTGGATGAAATTGTTTTTAGATTCAAAAGAATTAGAAAAAAAAACCTGGTGTTTCCACTCACACGACTTTCCTACCTACTTCAGAAAAGTATTTATATCTTTAAATGTGTCGATTAAGAAAAACAACAACAAAGAATTGAATTATTTTTATTTTCTTGAAAATTGTTCAAAGAAAAGATTTGAATACGACTTATTTGATAGAATAAAGCAATATATACCGGTTTGTGAAAGACAAGCGTAAAAAATTCAATACACTCTAATATTGCTAATCAAAAACTTTTTGCCATAGCCCAATTTTTCAAACAATAATTTCTGTTAAATGTAGAGGAAATAGTGAAACTTGTGTGATGTGGGCACCATATATTTTTACTTTAACTTACTTTTCTTTTTTCTCTCTCTTTTACCTCTTTCTGGCACAGGGATTTGAACTCATAATCTTACATACGAAATTGAATAGCTGTACCTACGTTAATTTTTATCCGAAATGAACAATTTTTATATAGTTTTGTAGGGAATTCATCACCTTTCAAAAAAATAGACTAAATAAATTTTACCATAGAATATATACTTAGCGAGTCAGGCCCCAAAACATTTTACGTTTCTTTATAACTTTTTTTCTTAAATTTTCTGGGGAATTTAGTACATGTACTAAAATTGAAAGGTCAATAATTAGGGAGTTATAGAAAAGTTTCATAAAAATCGTTAGTCTTTTTTGTGCTACAGTCTATAGAAAAATACGTTTTTCACTTATTGCGCAGCCAGGCATCAGAACACGACAAAAAAAAAAAAAAAAAAAAAGCAACAAAATTGGTCAACTTGTTCCAGAGATAATCTTGACACAGACAGACCAATGGCTGAAAATGTGTTTTGAGGATTCAGGGGGCACTGAAACGTATAGGTACGTCGAAAACCGTATATCGGAAATTTGACCCAATCGCGATACTTTCCTTAACTAGTATAGGTCGGAAAGTAAAAAAAAGCTCAATTAACCGCACATTATTATTTCCATTAACTTTTTAACTAGAAACAATAATTGTTTTTGAAGATAGGATTGTGTCTGAAAAATGCGATATTTTATCATTCATACCTGAATGTACCACCAAAAAATCCGTGAACAAATCCGGCTCTGATATGTAAATACATGTATATATATTTATATTTAGTTATAATTTGTATTCATAGAATTATTAGATTTTTGTATTTTCTGCGATCACTGAAATTCGTTAGTTCAAATGAACCCTGAACAAATGAAAAATAAAGTCAAGGACGACCAGTTCTGCAAGGAGGAAACAGGGACGCCTGGATTCATCAAAGAGCCTACCTACTACGTCGTTCATTACATTATATTTATAGTTTATTTTAATTTATTCTAGTGTCTTTTAAGTCAGTTGCCTTGTTAAATCTACCGCTTTTTATTTTTTTTCTTTCATAAAAAATAATTTCTTAAGAACTTTTCGATTAAAAAAAAATTGAAATAAGTAAAACAAATATAATATATCATGATTAATTAACCATTATTACGACAACGTGCAAAATTTCAATGATGACGCTGCAGAGATAAAAAAAATGGTTCTTTTAAATGCCGATGTTATTTCTCTAATGTCAAGAAACAAAGGTGGTCAAAAGGGGTTTATGACGCAATATCTTGCGTGTTTAAGAGGAGCATGTTTAAGAGGAGCATAATTGTTTAAGAGGAGCATAATGTTTAAGAGGAGCATAATTTGACGAGGTTTGGAATTTTTTAGGGGCATATTTCGAAGGGCATATTAATTTTTGGAGTGAAAAGTTTCAAACCTGAAAAAAACGGAAAAACATGGACCAGATCACAAGTGTAATTGTATATTTTATTTACGCCCTACTCTGCCATTGAGGCAATACGGGTTTTGCAGAACTGAGTTGTTACGCATGACTGCAAATTTTACACACTAAGCCTGTTTATAGATTAGGCCACCCTATTAGTCAGGTAACCCAAGTGAGGGGCAGCGTTGAATGCACTTCCAAATCTGACACCTAGATAAGTGACCGCCTCACTTTGACGTGTTCTTGTACCTTGAATCATTATATTGTTTGGGTGTACCCTATCTATTTTTCCTTTCAAGAGAATAGCCTTGGTCTTGGAAGCAGCCTTCTTCAACTTTTTCCTCTCGCACCATTCTCCAAGTTGGCGCACCGTTCTCCTTCTTGTTGTATACCGGCTCTGCTGTTAGAGAACAATGCCGCCAAATCATCTACCTAGGCAGTGGCAGGGAAACGCTCCTCTTCTAGAACTCCCAGACACTCGCCAAATACAAGGTTCCACATGGTGGGACCAAGTATTGATCCTTGTGGGCATCCTCACTTTAATGGAGCTTCAATTTCAAAGGAGCTACCTCTAAACTTTACACACCTGTCCTGTAGATAGCTCCTTACGAGATGAATACGTTGCTAGGAGCTTCAAATTTTTGCAGCTACTAAATTATATATGTTCAATGATTTTTCAAATTCTACTTTGGCATGCACTGTTTTTAAGAAAAGAGAGCAATAAAATATCTTGGAAGGAAGTTAATTTTCTTCCAAATTATTTAGGAAAGCAACGGTCCACGCACTGTCCTCCCCTCCGGCCCCCTATGATTGAAGGAATGGACTTTCTTAGGACGGTCTGGAATAACTCTTATGTTAGTTTGACAAATTTTGGATTATTTGAGGACCAATTTCTTAAATTAAACTATAGGGGTCTATTTAGCAGCAAGCTGAAAAACAAGAAAATGTGATTGACAAATCTAATGTAGTATAGATTATGACTGCTGCCTAATGCAAGCGTGTTCTTGTGTTCGTATCCACTAGCGGATCCAGGATTTATTTTTGGGGGGGAAGGGGGGCTTCATATCGGAAACTTTATATTTATATTGAATAATACTTTAAAATAAGAAGATAGTAACTAACTATCTATATAAAATGGTGTTTAAGAGATCCTTGAAGTCCTATTAAATGTAATTCCACGAACAATAGTACTTTTAGATATAATTTCTTCTATGAGACATGGTTATATTTTTATCATATATATATTTTTTTACCATTTCGGGGGAGGGCTGAAGCCCGAAAGCCCTTTCCAGCCTAGATCCGCCTGTGGTCGTATCCATAGGTTTAGTTTCGACAATCAAGCCTGCGTAACATTTTGATAATTTAATACCTTGTAGTAGGTTCAGCCGAGCTAATTTTATATGATAATTAATAGGTTATATAATAATCATTTAAATAGTTCTTAGTAAATCATCACCATACCATCACCATCACCATACCATACCATTCTTTAAATCCTTTTTTTCTTTAGTTGAAAAGTTTTCCAGTAAATCCGTTTATACACTGCCCCCATTAACGCCAATAGGCCGCATAGGTTGTATTGTTGTATCAACAACACTGGACCAATCTGTTTAATTTGTTTTTCGTCATAAAAAAAAAACAGAACTGAACCTCTATAGAGAATAGCGATTTGACGATTCTTAGAATTGAATAGCAGATCAAGAATGGTCAGCTGTCCTTGCGAAGGTGACATCACTAAATAAAAGTATGTAGGCGACAGATAGATGAGCAGCATACTAAACATCCTTAACTGGGAGAACTTTTCAATATTACCGGAAAATAACCTGTCCAAATAGGAAATTCAATGCAATCTTAAAGCATATTGTTATGTTCCAAATTTGCACCAAACATTACTAAATTTCTTTTTTAATTTTTCTGGAATTTTCAAAGAAAGCTTTTTTTTATTCGATAAAAATACCCAAATGGATCCTTGATAAAGTGGGTATTTGCCCCTTTAATGTGTTGGACGAAAAATCTGGCGGATAGCGTGAAAAATCTTGGCCCAGATTACTAGCTTGCATAACCATTGGTCAAGACTGAAGTTTTGTGACATCACAAACTGAACCTTAGTACATTCATTCACAGGTTGTAGAAATGAGGGTTGTTTCGACGAGTAAAGCGTTTTATCACTTCTAATAGTGGAAGGATTTCGGATACGGCACCTGTGCCAGACACTTTTGGTACCGTTACTAATCCTCTTATCATGAAATAAAAACATCCTGAACCAGAAGTCAAATCGGTTTCTGTATAATTTATTTATTCGCTGTTAGTTTTCAGTAGTCGCTTTATTACGTTTTCCTGGAAGTATATCATGGCTCCAACTTTCTTTTAAAATCTTGAGAAATATTTACATATATATCGAGGCGAGATAGGCGTGCTCTAAGATTATCTCCGTCCAGCCCGCTGGGGCTAATGAAGATTAGAAACTGGCCAAAGACCCCGACCCAGCAAAGACGATAACCTTCACCCGGGAGGAAACTGGCACTCAGCAGCTATTAGTGTGAATCTTTCCAGCATCATGGTAAGTTCTTCTCTTTATAACAAGTTTTAGTATAGTTAGCCATATCATTGATTTGTTTTTATTCTCATCGTTTAGAAGGTTCTATGCTTACGTTCTACTCGCGGTAATTTAGCATATGAATTTTAAAAGGAGGAAAAGTGCTTGTAGTACTGCGGAGAATATTAAGACTGTAGTATAACTTTTTATTTAAAAGATGTCGCTAGTTATAAGAATAAATTAAATTATTATTAAGTGTTGAAGCATTTATTTATTTAAATTTTCCGTACTACTATTTATGTTTACTTGGCATTGTTGCCGGAACTGAAAGAATTCAGAATAAAAATAAAATATTAATCTCTTTTTTTCCCAATGTAATCCGCGTTTATTATTAAGATTTTTGTTTCACCTATCCTATAATATGTTATAACAATCTTTATATACAATGAAATAATGTATAATACTAATTGTATTAATTATATATATTAATAAAAACGAAATTGAGAATACTGTAGACCATAAACGTTAATTTTCTTTTAAAAGTGACAATAAATGGTATATTATAATACCCTTAATATATACTTAAAACAACATAAGTGTATCATTAATTTACGGCTCATTTGAAATCCGCCGTTTTCAAGAATTAGAAAGTAATAAAATCAGATAACTTTCTTCTTAAGGTAAACTATACCCTAAAACAAACACTCATTAGTAATAAGTTATATTTTATTGTTACTATTAATAAAATATCTATTGAGTCATAATAATAAATATAATAATTTAGAAACCACAATATGAACTCTTAAAATACTTACAAGATTGCTCTGTTTAACTTAATTGATTTGAACACAGTTTTACAGTTATAATTATGATGTTCTTTTTAAAAATTAGGTAACTCATGATTATTTAAATGTTAATATAAAAGTACAAATGAATATTCAAACAAAAGTTAAAAAATTAATATTATCATCTTGTTAATATTAAACTACTTAATCGTACACTGATTTACTGTAAAAATAAGCCAAATTTATGGTGATATAAAATATATCACTCATTTTGTTGAGAATTATTACTTTTTTTTGGTAGTTTGTGAAATATATTTAATAAGTAGATTATGTATACAGCATGGAGTTAAATCATTTTAAAGTATAAAAAAAAGTATATGTTACTACTGCAACTGTCACTAATAATTAATTCTGTTATTTTTTGATGAACGCAACAAACTTCCTTCCGATTTGAATTAAGAGTAGTATAATATGCCTGTTTTGTGAATACTTTTCCATTTGTGTTTTAAATTACTTCTGCATTAGTAGAGAAGAAACTGACAGATGTTTCAATAATTTCATAAAATATTTAGAATATTTTTTATATTGGATATATAGATATTTAATAAATTTATTGAATGTTGAATTGAATTTCAGACATTTAATAAATTTATTCTTAAAGGAGTTTGTAGCTTTCCAAATTTACATGCTATATTTTGATGGTCTCAATTATTACCCCCAAAATATTTTGATGACGTTATATTTTTTGTAAATTTATAGACATGACAGAATTTTTCCTTAACTTAGATAGTATATACTTTCTTTTCATCTCTAAGCGTTTAAGCTAAATTTTCCGAGCTTTGTGGTATATCCAATCTTGTGATGTCCTTTTAAAAACACTTTTCAATGTAGCTTCATTAAATATATGACAATATGTATGAATATTTCTTTAAGTGAACTATAGTTATCTTACTCATTTCAATTTTTTTGGACAATATTTATTTTTTAATCTTACTGCCAGGTGACCTGAATGTGCTGTTTAACTTTAAAAACTCATGATAAGCACTAAAGTAGTATGTTACTTAATTGTTTCATAGAAGTTTCCTCCTCCTCTCATATATATATTTATATATATAAAATATATGGGAGAGGAGGAGGAAACTTCTATGAAACAATTAAGTAACATATATATATATATATATATATATATATATATATATATATATATATATGGGGTAATTAGATTTTAATTTCAATAAATTTATTCCAATTTTTAATTGCTCAATTAAGATGTTTTTTTAAATCTAGAGACATAGTATCTTTATTTTTGTACAATATTTAGAAATCACATAATCCATTAAAATTTGATATTTCCTAAGATTCATATTGTCCTAATGATTTAAGTCTCTGAAGGATCATTACTATTACATTACTATCTCTTTGATTTCCTGCTCCTTGATTGATAACTTCCTTGATTTCCAACTAACAACAATTTTTATTCTGGAAGTCTATATAGGCCCTATAAAAAATATTAGGTTTAGGTTATGTTGATTTATGGATCAGTACAGATTTCTAAAGTAGTTAAGGTTTCATTTTATAAAGTTTTATATATAGAAAAAGTAATTGCATAACACTTGTGTTCAATGACCTTTGGGTATTTTCTATTTTTAATAAATTGATTAGCAATGATTTGGGAATGCTTCTATTCATTTGATACAATATCATAATTAAAAAGGAATAAAAGATTGGATTGTTAAGTAATTAATATATTTTTTAAATAAAATATGTAATTTCACAATAATTTGTTAATGCTATATAAATCATTTATACTGAATTTCAGGCCTAGCTTTCAAAGTAATGCATTTTAATTTAGATCATTTACTAGAGTCTTATTAGAGATGATAAAAAGTTGTTACTGAAGTAATACAAATTAATGGACTTTTTTTTTAATAATAATTGTTTATATTAATAATCCATGTAGGATATTTAAATATACAATTTTTGGATAGATCGAGCTATTTGTAACTGAAACAACAAAAAAATATTGGGATGTTCATTCTTTGTATTCTTATAAAGGACATATTATTTATTTCTTGAATTAAATTTTAAATCTATTTCAAATCAAATTCAAGTTTGAATTTAATTTAGATAAATATGAATTTTAATTAATACATTAAAATTAAATACTTGTTGACGTGGGTGGAGCGACCGGGGTGCGGAGACTGGGGGGAGGGGACGAATCAGGAACAAAAATATAAAGAATATATAATACTTTTATATGTTTATTATTTCATGTAAAGTCTTATTTCTATCCGCTTTCTACATTTTAGTTAATTTTTTTTAATGTTTGCTAATATCATCATACACGACTAGGAGGATAACTCTTTCTAACCTCATTTCCACTGGTTGTTGTTAGATAAATTACAAAAAGCTGGCTAGAGATTTATCGGGAGTGAATGGAAGTGCAAAAGTATAACTATGCACATTTATATATTTTTATTTATCATATATAACTAATATGACATAATATATGACTGACTGAGTTCATGTGAAGGAAGCGCCTGATATAATTTCGCCCCAGGCACCAAAAACTCACGCGACGGTCCTGATTGCCATAACAGAAAGAAAGTTCAACTGAAACAAATGAATGAATAGCTGCTTTTAGATTATCAGCTATGTAATATATAAGTGGGAAATATTAATTAAAATAGCAAATAATAAAAAAATTTAATTATTATCATCATATATTATTTCTAAAAATAATAATAATATGCGAATTTACTGTAACGGGTGGATGAAACAAAATTTTCAACTACTCATTTTAATAATAATAAACTGTTTATTTATTCTGGGTCGTCTCTTCTGAATCATAGGTACAACTTTACATTCAGCTATCTCATATTTTACACTCATGAATTAATATCCTCGATAACATTGTGATATTTCAAATGTTCCAGCCATATTTCCAGCCCAATACATTATTATCTAATAGCTGACATATCTATTATATCGTAGATACAAATGCTAGCTATCGAATCTGAAAATCACCACTGTAGTATCTATATCAATTCGTCCAAACAATGAGGATGTTTTAATTTTCACTCTAATATGTGTTTTTATGGATGCTTGAAGATTTCGTATTCTCTATTTAAAAATATTTAATAAAAATTAAAAGCGCTAGAATACAGGATTGTAAAAATGGCTATTTTTCATATTCGATAGTTTGTATCGACGATATGATGGATTAATAGATATGTCAGCTATTAGTTAATTATGCATTGGGTTGAAAAATTTGAAATATCACAGTGATAGAAAACAAACTTTTATATAAAATAACTTACTTTAGTTCCAATACATTTTTTTTTTCCGTCACTTCTTTTTTTACTTAACTGAAAATACATGTATATTTCATGATTTTGAAACTTAAATTTTTATCATATCTATCACATTCACTTGACTTGTTAACGATTGCAAATATTTTTATGAGTGCCTCATGCATTAAAAAAAAAAATTCAAAATGAATGCTTGTCTTGAGTTCATCGATAAATAAATTTCGACCTTTAAGAATAGGTTTGTAACCTATTAGCAGTAATGAATTAACGTATTTTTTTTTAATTAACGCAAAATGAATATAATTCAGTGCTGATGGGATAATACATTTATAGGTTTCTCCATAACGCAACATTTCTACTTACAACAAGCATGCAGATGATTTCTCTCTCATGTTTAACAAAAAAAAAAAAAAAATGAATTCTCATTTTTTTTTCATTAATGGGCCACCATGTTTTATAAGTGCATATGGTCCCTCGAGGTCCTAGTATGTGAAGTGTAAAGAAATAGGAAGGTTTGTATTATCTCGACACTTTGAACGGTTGTTTCAATTAAATTAATTTTGATTTTATTCATTTATAATCATCATGAAACTTTATAAATTGTAATAGTAATATTTGAAATGATTTTTATTCCTCTCGCCATCCCCCACCTTCAAGCATAAGTTCAAAATCTAAACCTGTCAGAGAGGATTTCTCCCTGTACTTTACCATGGCGGCCATGATTTAATAGGCCAGATATACCCTAAAGCCCAAAAATAAAAGCACTTCAGCTCAAAGGGGGAGCATGTCTTGAACTAAAATCGGTAAAGAATGCAGAGTTCAATTTATATGCGGCAGTCACTGTTTCTATTTACCCAACAACTCTCTTTATATCTCCATGACACAATGGTAGTATAAACTTCAATGTTATCTTCAAAAATACATACTG